ATACGAGGTGCGATCGGAAGGTTTCCAGACTGCGCGTATAAAAACCCGTGCACTTATCTCAGGTATTAAATTCATCCATCATCCTCGAAGTAGTTCCCCTGGGAGTGAACACAACGATCCCAGCGCCGCTGCCAAGCCTGGAAGCATCCCTGGAAATCTTTCTTTGTCAGCCTGTCAAGCACCATCTGCGATTCTGTCTGAATCTCTTCTATCGTCTCAAATCTCCTTCCCTTTAGCTGAATTTTCATCTTTGGGAAGAGGAAGAAGTCACACGGAGCTTAGGAAGGAAGTTGGGGTCGGTTCTTGCAAGATCTTTTAGCTCCTGACAAACGAGAAGTCGATTCTGCTTCTGGTCCTCAGACAGGAGCCTTGGTTTCGCATGTGGAGTTCTTCCTTTAGAATCAGCTGACATGTCCCATAGCCTATCCCAACAATGTCGGACAAGTCGTTTATGGTACGACGTCGATCTTCGTGAATGGCCTGCCGAATCTTGGTAACATTTTCGGGCGTTGTGCTCGAAGATGGTCGTCCAGAACGCTCGTCATCATCGACAGAAGTTCGGCCGTTTTTAAAACGTGAATGCCACACAAAAGTTTGCGGACTCCCCAAATGTTTGCTTTAGCATTTCATAGGTTTCCGTAGCCGTTTTGGCGAGTCTTTGGCAAGAGATTCAGGCAGAATCGCAGATGGTGCTTGACAGGCTGACAAAGAAAGATTTCCAGGGATGCTTCCAGGCTTGGAAGCGGCGCTGGGATCGTTGTGTTCACTCCCAGGGGAACTACGTCGAGGGTGATGGATGAATTTAATACCTGAGATAAGTGTACGGGTTTTTATACGCGCAGTCTTGAAACCTTCCGATCGCACCTCGTAAACCTATTTTATTGTATCTTGGTGACTTAATGACAGATTTATTACAAATTTTTACAGTGTTATTTTTGTATCTTGCTTAATAGGAGTTACTTTATTCTACTACCTACTTTATGGTCATTGATTTTAATATATTATACAATTATGCGTATTTTGATTTTTTGCGTTAGTGTTGCTCTCATGCAGTTCACTCCGTTCCAATAAAATCCGATTCTATCAGAGTGACGATGTTCTTTGTTATCCAAGTGCACATTCTATCGATGACACCAAAGATAAATATACTTCATTACAATCTTTCCAGTGCCTACTGATAACGAGTGTACAGGAGTGTCAAAAAGTGACAAGCGAAAGTGGAGTCAGAATTAAGATAAGATATCTCTGTCTGTGACAGAACCATAAGATGTCTCTCCAAGACCATTACATCACGAGGCATACATGAATTATACTCCTAATGAGAACAGTTTACGACAAGGTTGTGCAAAATTCTCTATTAGGGGAAATTCTCAGAATAAAACAACTGACGCATTATATCATTTCAACTTCATAGGACAGCGTTGCTTAACCTAACCTAACCAACGAATCCTAAACACCCAGTTTCTGGTTTAGAGGTGGTTTTCAGCGCGTGGATCTTTATTTTGATTGGTCCTATACGCCTGTATCGCTATGATGTTTTTTTGGTACAAATGACTGGCTTTACTTTTTCTCGCGGATGAGCGTCGATCTGTTTGTAGATTTAACGACCTTCTACAATTCCCTTTTCTTCAAATACAGTGGATTCGAAATTTAGGAGAGATTCTTACTCCTCATTTAAACAGAATACTGCGTACTGTACAAGTCAATTAATATTGTTATGTAATAAAACTATCAAAATAATAAACGCCATTTGCAAATATTAGTACGTCATATTTATCGTCCTTGAATTTTCTAGATTATTTCAGAATGGTAACTGATGGCGTCATTACAGAGGATTCTCCCACGTGGTTATGTGGCTGACTGGGGATTTCCGACGTAACCATGGAAATTGTGGTAACCGTTGTAACCAATGTAAAAATGGGAACCAAGGTGGCCTGTGAATTCCCAATGCAGTCATTTCGCTCTCAGAAACACATGTGGGCCTCTACACAAAATTATAATGTTTAAGTCAATGTTAGTAAAATTCCCTCACTAATTAAATTCCAAGGACATTTTTTCGGCCGTTGTTCCCAGCGTGCGGATGGAAAGCGCTCCAAAATGTTTTAGTACTTAACAATAATAAATCTATCAAAACAGGAAGCAGGTCATATGCACGTAGTGCTTTGTAATCACAACTTGATTGCGACACATTCATGTCGTTATCTTTCAATTGTTTGCTCTGTAACAGGAATATGAATCATTGTAAACTAAAAATTGCACTGAAATCACTTGTAAAACTTTCCAACTGTTACATTTCTGGTTCTCTTTTTCCGCATGGAAGACGACTTAGAAGAAAGTAGCATGTTTGTTCAGCTACCGCTACTACGAGGTGCGATTCAGAACTCGTTCTGAGACAATATATCGTTCAGACGTTTCTGCTGACAGGGCCACGGCGCATCTCAAGGCTTCTAAACGTAACACATAAAAATCATGTGCATGCATGCATACATATATACATGCAGTGAGATATGATGGTTATAAATGATCAATTGATAAGAATATTGAATGTATCAATAAATTAATTGAATTGAATTGAAGTGGTCATGACAATTTGTAAGTACTTCTCCCTGGGGCGACAGACGAAAATCACGAAAGTATTTGTCAGGATTTTCGATCTCCATATCTATTTTCGAAAGCGAGACCTCCCGAATAAATTGTATGAGTGCTAAATTCTGCGTTATCTGCCCCTGAACAGATAACGTTATCTTTATTACAAAGCGAATGTTCCCACACCACGTGAAAATGTCATTATGCTGACATCAGCTGGGAGGAGTAATGGCATCACGCCTTTATAGACATATGAGGTGCGATCGGAAAGTTTCAAGACTGTGTCAATAGAGGGCGAACCGGATGTAGTACGAGCTTCTGCCTTTAGGGGGTGCGGCCTACATTCATAGTGAATCAGTGTGCCAGCCGGCATCATCGAATTAGCATTTGTTTCTTAGTTACGGGCGTTTTGGTAGTGCATTACACCGACCCTCCTGCGATTTCGGAATGGCGGATTTTCATGAACAAATCAAATTTTGCCAAAGACTCGCCAAAACCGCTACGGAAACCTATGAAATGCTAAAGCAAACATTTGGGGAGTCCGATTGCACTGCCCCTCCTTTATTTCTACATGCAGATACAGTGCGATTGAATTTTGACTTTTTACGGTTTCATATCCGGATGTTTACATTTATAAACACGCACGTGACAGGTAGACACATGTTTACAATTTATGTACTAGAAGAAATAAAATTCGTCTGTTTGTGTAATTGTCTCTGCAACCACCGAATTTGTACTTTATCACCTGCGGATAGTTCTGTGGCTTTCGAAACGGGTAGAACATAGAAACTTAAAAATTGTAACATTTTAAGTGTAGGTCGACCTAACAATTTGTGAACAATATTAGGAGAATTTTATATGGCATTTCCTTAAAAAGGTGATATTCTGATTATTATCAGCATCACTAACTCTTCTATGAGCTAGAGTTTTCGCAATAAGTGGTGTCGGAACGGGATGTAGGTACATCCCCAACCAGCACAAAGGTTTGCCCATGCTGAGCCATCAGTACATTAAAACCGTAGGGTAGGTCTGATTTGTTAGAAGAAGAGTGTTGCTCGGATACAAAAATTCGGGAAAATCTATGGTGATAATTTTAAAGTTGTACAGGCTGATCCTCTTTTCAAAAAAAATCTTTACATCTGTCTGAAATCGTCACACTATATTTATACGTGAATTACATGATGAATCTTGGCAACAATAAAATATTTACACAGAATGTATTAATGTCTCTTACGAGTTAGTATTAAAATAACATTTGAAAACTTATTTTAAAATTTTTCAAACTTTAAATACTTATGAATAATTAATGAAACCCAGAAATTAGAAGTTCATTTAAATTCTTAATGTATATTCGAATCTTGAACTGTGAAGGTGTGAACTAATTCAGGATTGTTTCCAATTTTGGGCTTCAGTACAAATAGTGCTGAACGTTATGTCCTGTTTGCCAAGAGTTCGTTTATAATAAATGGATAGGAAAGATGTACATTAAAACCGTAGGGTAGGTCTGACTTAGAAGAAGAGTGTAGGCAGTTAATATGAAGAAATCAATACCACAATTCCACACGAAATTACACATAATTTGTATTCAATAATAAGTGCGTTCAGTAATAAATGTTAATTAGAGAAACACACTTATGTGCGTTTAATTTATACATTCCTGATAATAAAACAAATGAAATTGGAAATGTGTGAGTCATGAGTCTCAGGCTGTCTGTACGCAATGTTTATGGGTTAGAACAAAGCAGTTTAATTGACGTTATTATAGATAAAATACACTCACATTAAACTGAAATAGAACATGGTTGCGAAAAGAAGAAGTGTCCGATAGTAAACTTTGGTGGGGGGGACGCTATCAAAGCATCACTGCATTTGCCGTTCAATTCCCCACAAACCTGCTCGTATCAGATTTCCAATTAAAGATTTGCTATCTTCCATAAAATTTCAAAACAATTGTATTAACTATTGTCTGTGGCGAGTGACACACAACGATTCCACATCAAAAACCTTTATTCGGTTGCTCTTAACTACACTAAACCAAGCTCCTTACTACATAATATTCTCCATTTCCATATTATGAAATAATCGTGAAGACGATTTAATCGCACGGCAGATGTTCTCTTCGTATCACAGCACTGGAACTGATATCCTGACCGATATTATTCACATGTTCCTCTGTCCTTCCATGCAAATTCTAAACCAGTCCCTTGAAACATGCATAAGAATCGTACAGTTTAACGTCGCAGCACCGACAGAAAGAAGTTCACAAGTAATAATTTGTTTTATACTGCAACATATAATGTCTCACTTAAGACTTAGTCCTGGAAACTAAATATTCGATCAAACAATGAAAGAATCAGTTGTCTGAAATATGTTTTAACTAAGGCAGCAAGCACATTATTTGTGCCGATATTACCAGAGACATGCATCCCACAGTTATGGGACAGACATTACCAAGAGGTTTACGGGTGACGGTCTGAAGAGTAGGACGATATGTCGTGGCATTTCTAACGTCTGTAATGTCCTCTGAAGTGGCAGAAGTCATGGTGCTATTACGTCCCGTGCTTCCAGATAATGGGGTGCTAGTATAAGTGGTTTGGTGAACACTGTTGTTGTATTTAATTGGTGTGTACGTATTAGTTGCTGTCGATTGTGGGCTACTTTCAGTTGATGTGGTACTCTGAATTTCCGTAGTGCTTCCAGATAATGGGCTGCTGGTATAAGTAGTTTGGTGAACACTGTTGTTGTATTTCGTTGTTGTGTACGTATTAGTTTCTGTCGATTGTGGGCTACTTTCAGTTGATGTGGTTCTCTGAATTTCCGTAGTGCTTCCAGATAATGGGCTGCTGGTATAAGTAGTTTGGTGAACACTGTTGTTGTATTTAATTGGTGGGTACGTATTACTTGCTGTCGATTGTGGGCTACTTTCAGTTGATGTGGTTCTCTGAATTTCCGTAGTGCTTCCAGATAATGGGCTGCTGGTATAAGTAGTTTGGTGAACACTGTTGTTGTATTTAATTGGTGGGTACGTATTACTTGCTGTCGATTGTGGGCTACTTTCAGTTGATGTGGTTCTCTGAATTTCCGTAGTGCTTCCAGATAATGGGCTGCTGGTATAAGTAGTTTGGTGAACACTGTTGTTGTATTTAATTGGTGGGTACGTATTACTTGCTGTCGATTGTGGGCTACTTTCAGTTGATGTGGTTCTCTGAATTTCCGTAGTGCTTCCAGATAATGGGCTGCTGGTATAAGTAGTTTGGTGAACACTGTTGTTGTATTTAATTGGTGGGTACGTATTACTTGCTGTCGATTGTGGGCTACTTTCAGTTGATGTGGTTCTCTGAATTTCCGTAGTGCTTCCAGATAATGGGCTGCTGGTATAAGTAGTTTGGTGAACACTGTTGTTGTATTTAATTGGTGGGTACGTATTACTTGCTGTCGATTGTGGGCTACTTTCAGTTGATGTGGTTCTCTGAATTTCCGTAGTGCTTCCAGATAATGGGCTGCTGGTATAAGTAGTTTGGTGAACACTGTTGTTGTATTTAATTGGTGGGTACGTATTACTTGCTGTCGATTGTGGGCTACTTTCAGTTGATGTGGTTCTCTGAATTTCCGTAGTGCTTCCAGATAATGGGCTGCTGGTATAAGTAGTTTGGTGAACACTGTTGTTGTATTTAATTGGTGGGTACGTATTACTTGCTGTCGATTGTGGGCTACTTTCAGTTGATGTGGTTCTCTGAATTTCCGTAGTGCTTCCAGATAATGGGCTGCTGGTATAAGTAGTTTGGTGAACACTGTTGTTGTATTTAATTGGTGGGTACGTATTACTTGCTGTCGATTGTGGGCTACTTTCAGTTGATGTGGTTCTCTGAATTTCCGTAGTGCTTCCAGATAATGGGCTGCTGGTATAAGTAGTTTGGTGAACACTGTTGTTGTATTTAATTGGTGGGTACGTATTACTTGCTGTCGATTGTGGGCTACTTTCAGTTGATGTGGTTCTCTGAATTTCCGTAGTGCTTCCAGATAATGGGCTGCTGGTATAAGTAGTTTGGTGAACACTGTTGTTGTATTTAATTGGTGGGTACGTATTACTTGCTGTCGATTGTGGGCTACTTTCAGTTGATGTGGTACTCTGAATTTCCGTAGTGCTTCCTAGTAGTTGGCTGCTGGAATAAGTTGAATTTGCTGCTACCACTGGTTTTAAAAAAATATTATTTCACTTTATAGTTATACTGTTTCATGAATTGTGAGTTTAGTTAAATATTGACTAAAGTCGGACGATATGTATGTTAATAATTTCCTTATTGTTATTGATGAATATGGCCCAAGAGTTTCGCTGATGGTAATTTTTTTTTCTAGAGTTGTTTTTAAATATATGTGGATTCTTTCATAACTGACAGAAAAATTGAACTCTACAGGGTCTAATGGATTATATGAATCAAACAAATCTGAATATTCCACGCTGTATTCGTGTTATTCTTCATAAATAAATAACATAACATAAAGGCCGATATAAAATTCTGAAAACACATCTCTGATGTACAGGCGCTCAAAGTTTCAGATATCCTCTCTCATTACCACGTTTAATTTGTTGCACAGCTAGATTCGAAATCAATGCTTGCATTGCGTTTGGTAACCTTTTCATATTAAGTTTAGACAAAATTGACTTTAGGCTAATAATTAGGAATTACATTACATTGGATTAATATCCAAAATAGCAACGGAGCTCTTTATTAATATCACTGAGGGCACGTAATTTACTCATATACGACTTACCTAGTTTGACATATTCTGACTTCAAGAACAGATACAGACACACACTTACGCGTGCGTGATCCTGTTTGTATGTTAGTTTATTTAACAATCGTGTCAGTATCTGAGACTGTATATTCACTAATGATGGGATGATTAAGCCTTTGAAGTCGAAGCTCATTTAAATAATATTTAAGATTTCAACCAGAACCGCAAAGAAAACAGAACACTTTATCATTATTACAAACAAAGTCCAACATTTATTTATTGTATAAAAGTTTTAAACATTATTTCTGAAAAAATATACGTTTCATTAAAAAATAAATTTATAATAAAAAATAGTTTACCAGAAACGAATTTGGTAGGAGAGGAGGAAACTAAATAATGAGAAAATTTAATCGACTTTATTAAATCGAGGAGATTAAGAAATATAATTGTTCCTCAATTTCTTATTTAAGAGAAATAATATTCGCTAACATGCAAGCACTAATTCTGTTCACACTAGCCATTTTTGTGTTGAAGTTCCCTGTCATATTTCAACTTGATCTATTCATGCCCGACTTCCAACATCTCTACGTAACATGGAGGCACCTATCGTCTTTTAATAGAATCGTATATATAGGCCTATATTTTAAACGTATTGGTGACTTTAAGCAACATTTTATATCTTCTATTATTCTCATCGAAACGTTCAGTAACTTACGTATAATTTCTACGGGCCTGATGACGAATAATTCTTATTGCAATCATGTAGTCCAACACCAACGAACATTTAAAAAAAATGCAGAGTGTTTAAAAGTTGGATCTGCATAAAGTGGCAGTGCTTTAACACGAACGTAAAAGAAGAATGTCTCGGAAATACGGTGTAACACAACATTTCACAAATATTTAACGTATCCAGAAACATTACCAACAGGATCTGCAGAGAGACTTACCTGATAATGAGACGAGTAACACAAAGCGAATCACAGTCCCTGCCATTTTCTTCTCAGACCGAATAAATCGTCATTTATTTTGGTGTTAAATGTGTTGTATTCTCAGTGGTATATGGGGAAGAATGAGGAAAGTGCGTGCTAATGTCTCGTTTAATGGCTCCCTTAATCTCGTTTTATGATTCTAAGGAATTGCAAATAATGTTGATAACAGACGTCAAAGTTCTTACTTAATACACACTCAAATGAGCAACATAAATTCCTAGCCTGTAATATAAGCTCGCTAAAACCAGTGCATTACCCTGATCCTTGTCTTCGTCGACCAGTCCAGTCCAGCACTATAATAAAACTTATTTCCTTAAGTAGAGAGAAGATACAGAGGTCGCATAACACATCTTTGTCTCTTCTCCCCACTAACCTTACAAGAAAGTCCAACTAAAATTCTGCAAACATTTATTTTACAGCCACCATCTGCGGAAAAGTAGATAATAAAATATTCATAACTAATTTTATATCCACTATTTTACATTGTCGTGCGAAGTGAGGACTTTAAATCAACAACACAACAGTGAACATATGCAGTATTTATTTGATAAGAGTTATACATATCAATGGAGTAACTGCGTACTTGTTCTCTGACAAAAAGGTAAAAAAAAAACTCATTGATGACAGCGTGTGTTTAAGATGAATTCACTCGGCATTGCCTTCATTGAGTCACGGTCACTTGGTGAGCACAGCGGCGTCCGTAGGGCCTGTTCGCTGTGGAAAAGATTATTTCTTATCACGTGCGGATAGGAATTTGTGCATGTTCTTTTAAACTAAATAGAAGCGAATATAGATGGTCCTCAGTGGGAAAGTAAGCGTCTGTCTAACTTCTTGGCAGATGCTTTCTTCGTTTTTTTTTCTATACTAGTCGAATGCCCGAATATTAAATTCTTAAGATCTTTTCATATTTCGTTCTTCCACCTCTTTAATAAACTTCTGTAAATATTCTCTAAATGTATCAGTATATTAAAATAGGCTACGGCTTGTTCCTTTCACTGTTTTGTCCATTTGCCCTCTATAGTCATCGCATTATTGGACGCCAAGTGGCTGATGCAACTGATAAGTCGTTATCGAATAAGTGAGCATATTGTTGAAGTTCTTACTTGTATAAAGGCAAATCAGAACAGAGAGAAGTAGCTTTGATTTTTACCCCGGGACGAAACGCGATCCGACGCTGGCTGTGTAGAGTGTGGGGGTCTCCGGTAAGTCGTCCACCTCTCAGTGCTGTCGCTCACGTTGATAACTACGACAAAAATCTCGGCACCTTCCAGCTCCCTGGACAGAGGAATGTCTGATTAGTAAAAATCCAATACTGATGAGCTCTTTATCCTTGAAGGTGTTTTTGTGTTTTTCGGCGTAAAAGTCAACACTTACAGCAACTTTAATAATTGGCTATGGTGAACACGTAACTTACAAAACAGTTTTGAAGATTGAAGTACACCCCATTATTCATTCTGTCCAAAGATATTTTACAAACCAGCTTTATTGTGGCACATTTTCAAGTTGTTATTGTTGCGATCGTGATAGACTAACTCTTTCGAAACTGTTGCGAAATTCATACCTATTCTGAGACTTCTCATATCCTAACAAAACTCTAGATTGTACCTTAATGTTCAATTTTACTTTCATAAATAACGAATAGCTCTCTGTAACTCTCGTGTGTGTGGGATAAAGACTGTAAAGCTATGTTTATATATTTCTAGTAAATAATTGTCAGCTTATTGAAGGTTGTTGTTTTTGTCCAATTTTTGGAACAATGCCCCTTTGTTTTTGTGGGAAACGCTACCATCTTAAGTAAGCCACGGTGCCGTAGGACACTTTTTATACTTGCCCAGTTCGTTTTCTTTCACTTTTAGTTGATCGAAGTCATCGAGAGTTCCAAAACTTGGGTCTATGTCATTGAAGTCCGACATATCGTATCCATCGTCCACCATCGGTGGCTTGTATATTGGAGACAGCCACACTGCACACACCCCCAGGTCTTTTAGGAGGTCCAGCTTCTCCGTGTTACCTACAGCAACAAATCAGGCACAGACAAAATTGGGTCTCGTAACTTCTTATAATGCATAGTATCGATGTCTGCAAGCTGAAGATGGCTGTCTCCTGGCTTGTTGCGCCATGTGTTTTGGTGGAAGTTTGTTGAAGTTTCAGACGTGCTTGTTAATTCGCCAGTATTAGGTAAAAATATAGTGGTATGATAATACTTCAGGGGGGAATGACACTCTAAGATCTGCTGCTATACTTACCTTTGATATCTCCGTTGCCATCTCCATTGCTGTCCTTGAAGGAGAGCGGGTAGACCTGATACACGACCGCCTTCTTCCACCAGTCCTCAGGGTTCTACTCCTGTAGCGCCGCGCTAATCAGCAGTGGCAGAACAGCGCTCGCACGCTGTAGCGATATAACGTCTGTTGTCTGCTAAGTGCAGCCGCCACATCTCACTTTTATATCAGAATCAGTGATGTCTTGAAACAACTGATGGCGATAAAGTGTTTCGTCATACACACAGAGAAGTGTTTGATTCAATAAATGATTGTTAAAGAATGCGAATTTAAAAACCGCTACAACCATTCGGAACGTCGTTGTATCTAGTATCAGCACGAGTTAATTTAAAGATTAATCGATAATATCACTCCTTAAATGTTAATACAACGGAATGTAATGCTTACTATTGGATTATTTGGATCGTGATCTTCTGGGTTGTGACGCCAGGGTAGCTGTAGTGAAGGTGGAAATAATATGTTCATCCGAAATAAGCAAATCAATTTTTATTGGAAGATATAAAGGAAATAGATGAGTAGGAAGGCCTACACTTACATTAGATTATTTTTTAAAAATGGATATAAAGGGAAAAGTTTGAGATACTGTAGATTGATGGGTTTATGTGGCGGTCTTTTCAGAACACGATAATGGATTTTCTGGTCACAAAATGACTATCTAAACGACTGTTAGCTTCTAAAGAAGAACTTTGTTCCTTGGAGTTAATATAGAAGATCTACTGAAGCGAACAGAATGTGTCATAATTTAAGAACGAAGCTTAAAAGTTTTAAAATAATTTTACAGTTTGAGTGTTTGTAAACTTTAAATTTTTACAGATATTGACTAAGGTTGGTAAGAATTTTCAAACACTTTATGTATAAACCATAATAGCCTATGTTTGAGAAGGATCCCAGTCGATAACCCAACTCGTCTGATTGATCAAGTCGTGTATGAAAAGATTTTAGCTGTGCCATCTATATATTATATTTAAATAATATATTCAGTTACGTGTATATTCAAGAATTAAGTGTGTACAGGGGTGCCGAAATGTTTAAAAGCAACCAAACCAGCCCTGTTGAGGTAGACAGGCAAGCACAAACATCCATATCCACAAACGAACAAACCATGGAGCGTACTCAAGCAATTATCCTGTGAAACTGTAGTGTAACCATTTCGGAAATCGTGGAGGACTGAGCTTTAATGTTGCTCGTCCTTGGTGCAAATCTCTAGTGTAGCAACCATCTTTACGCCACAGTCACTCGGCACAAATGGACTACGACTGAACCACACTCGCAGCATGTCGCTGTCTGATCTTGAGGTACGGTATCAACAGGCCTCAGCAGTGTCTCCAACCATGAAACATAAATATCCCAATACTGTGATTACTTTTTTAATTCCCCTTTGTAACTCAAGTTTCATTTTCATAGAAAATTGTGGAAACTTCAATTGCTGAATTTGTTTTTATAACGAAGCTTCGTATTCGGAATATACTGCCTAGGCCAATCTGCCGGAATTTGAAGGTACTATCGTTTAGTTTGCATCGCACACTGCCGCCAACAGTCAAGTTGTTGAACTATTTGGACCATCTTGGCACTGTGCCACGCTCGTGAGCCAGGGATGTAGTCTCGTTAGGCCTATAGTAACCCATTTAGCTCCCGCTTGGCTGAAGGAACGTAAGAAAATCCTATTTAGAAATAAATTTAGCGCAGAAGAACTTTAATCTTCTCATTTTTAGAATTACTACGAAAACCCGACAAGACGTAAAAAGGTTGTTAGTGTTTTTACTTTTCACCAACGGAATGTTATACTAAATACTCCAGAGTAGGCATTTTACTTTGTTCCATAAATACATTTGTTCTCAGAATATTCCATTTGTTTCAGCTGTTTAAAAACAAACAAATTCTTGCGATTTAGTGATTGTGTTGTTTTCATTCAAGTGTTGATACGCATTTTTTGTGAAGTAGTATTGTGAATACTGCCAGCTGTTGGTTGCAGAGGAATATTTATTTCGAAGAATTTGCTACACAAATTCCAGCGTCCTTGATCTCAGTAGGTAACGTAAGTATTGAGTTTTTATGATTACAGCATTGCCGAGAGGTTTATAAATTATATTCACTTAAATAAAGTATTATAACTCCTTAAGACGGGCCTTATACCGAAGGAAAATTTTTAATTTTGTTTTACGTGAATGTTTTTAAATTAGATTCGTGTCTCAGAAAAATAAAGGCTTCGATCAGTGAACTGCGAAAAATGTACAAACGTAGAGTTGAATAATAAAAGAAAACATGTGAACAGTTTAACTAAGCATTCGCTCCGTGGGGAATTTTAACTGGGAAATTTTAATTTTTCGTTCAGTATTAGCGTAATTGTATTGGGTTAACTTAATCCCTTGGTACGAAAAGACGTGTTGTTTGTAATGATCGGTAAGACAGCCACGTCGTGGCATATTATGCCACATACTTGAAAAGAATTAATTCTCTTATCCGTTAATTTACACAGCATATTAAGAACACGAAAATAATTGGGGCAACTTTATAATTGTGCTGAATTTGTTTATTAACACTTAAGCCTGCTACCATAAACTGTTAACACTTTCCTCTAAACCTGACACTGAATGTGACTTATTTCAGGTTGGTCTACTATCCGGAATGCAAACCACTACAAATTAACTTTAGATGCCCACACTACTAAGGCTGGTTAAAATTCTTTATTTTCAAACACAGATTACAGAATTGTTGAATTAAATATGTTTTTTTATTTAATATAACTTGCTACAAATTTATGATTATTCTATTAATGCATTAAGAACACTCGATTAGTATATGCAACAATTATGAATTATTTAACAACACCTGCTCAATTGCACAGATTAATTCAAGTATCGAATGAGCTTGGAAGTTACCTGAAATTACTTTTTTGTGTTCGCCTGCAAAAGGTGAGAATAATTACGAAAAACCTCAGTTACGAGATTCGATATTTTATTTCTATACAAATTAACAATGTTGACGATGCTTTGTTTACAATTCAGTCTTTCTTTATAAATCAAGGATTTAATATTTTTAATATTGAACGCAGCAGCCGAGTCGTTGTCAGTCCTGTTTTTATATTCCTGAAGTCCCGGGTTCAAACCGCGGCCCAGAAAGTGGCTGTCGTCACTTAAAACTGCCTTTATGGTTCGTTGAATTACGCTGTGATAGTTTACTTCAACATAATTTCCTTCATTAGCCAATTTTTCGACGCTGTAGACCTATAATGTGAGCGACTGTTACAGTTATCGGCTATAGAACACTGACAATTTCCTCACCATCTACGGTGAAATTCCGGGACATTACGTTTAAGCAGTCTTATAGAACTTCTTGACTCGTGTTTCTTGTTCTGATGGTAGCGGAATCCAATCTTGGAATGTAAACAGGTTATTCTGACTGATATGATATTTGTTGTGTTTTTTCTAAGACCTTGTAGGCTAATGCTGGAAAAGTACTTCTAACTAGGTCACGAACTTCTTGCTTCATATCCTATCCAATTTACCTTTCACAGCCATCTTACATTTTGTCGTCATATAGGCCTGAAATACACAATTGAAAAAGCGGTATTATACCTAGCACAACATGAACTTGAAGTCGACCATTACTGCCTACATCAGAATTCAGAGATATATAAAACGTACATAATTCATTTTCATTTTCCTGTCTAATTCGACCCTACATGCGTAATACAAAAATTCTCTGTTAACTTAATATGCCGTATGGTATTGATGCTTGTAATTTTAAAAGAATGAATATATTTACAGACGTTTATATCTTTGTCTGGCGTCTTACCAATGATAATATTACTTTCTTAAGGGTAACTTTTGATTAAATAGTGACTACATTGTGTAACTTTTCAAGATTCTGAAAAGAATTTCGTTCGGTTTGATTTCCAGGTGATGATCTGTAGAACCAGGCAAGGGGTAGGAGCTTGCAATCCTGAGTTAATTTTAGTCTCGATGTCTGTCCAAAAGCTTACGTACTAAAAGCGCAGCATATATGCCCACTGTATGAAGAGGCGAGAGAACTGTGAACTTATTCCAAAAACAAACCATCACATTAACAGCTGCATTGCAATACAACAACGTTTTTAAGAAATAATGGTTCCTATAGACCTATCGATATGGAAAATTCGTTTTCAGCTACGTAGATGCGTCTTGAATTGTAACACGTAAAAACAAAAGTCCGCTCAGGCTTATGAAGGCGTGATTCTGGCTGTCGTATAAATAGTTCCCAACACAGAATAGTCTTTTGTTTAAGCAGTGACGGTATCTGATAATATTTCCTTGTAAACGGCACATATGAAGTGGGATTTTAAGTTCTCACGGCGGCGAGTATAACTTTTCCGAAATGTTGCACCGTGTAATCTCGTAGAAATTGACCAACGTCTCAGAGGTGCTTTCTGCCTGTATAATTAGGGCAATGAGTAGTGATAGGCAGCAAGGACCTCTGAAACGTCGATAAACTTCTACCAGACTACACGGCTCACAACCCAGAAGACAGCCATATTCATAGTCGCCGCTGTGAGAACCTGTTTAATGAAACGTGATTTTCTTCAGGCAAGTACCTCCTGAATTGTACCTCCAAGTGGCCTTCGAAATTATTCCAGCTAATTCGACGCTGCATAGTCACTGTAGTTTAAAGAACGTTGTTGAATAATCTGAGTTAATGCAGGAGAGATTCGAACAGAGCACATTACGGACGGGCTTACAAGTCAGACACGTTGCTGCTGCCTAAGCCGCTACGTGCATTTTTAGCACTTAACTAACGTGTGTTGCACTCACAGTTTCTTTGGTTATTTTTATTGTTTCGTGCTTTACTTGCGGTACTTGGTTTGAGTGAACAGTGCGGCAGATATAAATACACGCGCCGCAAATAAAAAGCGATACTGAGTTGGCTCTTTGATGAGGGGAAGAGGAGGGGGAAGAAGCATGAACTTTACATTGAACCTGGATCCGCTTCGTTCCGTGTCCTTCTCCGGAACAGTTTGTTTACGTCTGACTTCCTCTTCTCTCTGCAATACGCATTACACGCCTGCTGTTCGCCATATTTCAGCTACCTGATGTGATTCCTTTTGGTAGCGGTGGGGGCCATATTCTCTTCTGCTGGTTCAATCAATATATATAAATATTTATATAAATTCTAACTGTGTAAGATTTGAGGTTTTCACAGCCGTGAGTATGAAGATTTCTGTCTTCTGGGTTGTTGCGCTGTGTAGTCTGGTCGATGTTTACCAACGTTTCAGAGGTCATACTGCCTCCATCATCAGGGCGATTTTTTTTTCAGAAGACAGAAATCTTCAAATTCTAACTACATGGAACAGAGTCCTTCTGAGAATCTAATAATCGCTTAGCGTGTCACATTCCTCGTATTTTGTGGAACCCGTAGGTTCATCACAGTAAAATTCAAGCTACCGACACACATCCTTATCGTGAGTCAGATTAATTCAATCCACGCCCTCACACATTATTTCTTTAAGATCAGACTTAATCTTATCTTCCATCTGCACCTGGGTCCACCCAGTGGTGTCGTCCATTCAGCTTCCCGTACTAAAACTGCGTGTGCTTTTAGTATCCTCCCGCGAGTGCCACATGTTACGCAGTTTTCTCAAGCCTCTTCTTACTTCTCCCTTGGGTCAACACGCACTCCTCAGACACCCTCGATCTATGGTCTTCCTTTAATGTGAGAGACACGATTTCACACACATGCAAAAGAAGGTGTAAAGTTTTAGTTTCTTATGCCGGTATTTTATATTCTTCATTTAATGTAATTTTGAGTTCTTTCTGTCATTCTCAAATATTTAACATCGCCACATTTCAGAGAGATTTTTAGTTGTCTATAGTTGTCTCCGCCTTATTAACCTGTGTAATGATAATGTATGTTCCCAGTGATTAGTAATGATTGGTAATATATATTTTGCAGTGTTAGATATCGTTTGGCACAATAAATTATAGATAAATGCCAGTTAGTGATAATGTGTTTCGTTGATTGTGTTATGGTTAGATGTATGCTCATTATCGGTATAATGTATAACTTGTGGGGAGCAGTTGTTAGTTTATTGGCAATTACCAGCACTGTCTTGTAGAGGCTTTGCTGTAACTTTGAATTTTTCTCATCTGTAGTCAGAGCCTTTGCTTGTTAAGGCAGTGGATGTTGCCAGAATAAATAACATGAATTGGCTTACTTTATATTATAAGGTTTATGATATTTTCTTACAATGCGGTTCGTTCTCTGAAATAATGCGGTCAACCTTACCTGTTTCTAAACAATTACAGAACAAATAACGACTCATGCTTATCTCGTGCCTACTGGATTGCAGCTGACCGGAGGAACTGACTATTCTTGTCGCAGGACAGACACCTCACGACATGCCGTTTCCATTCTTTCAGTTCATGAGGCCTGAACTGTTGCCAACAATCGGTGGTAGTTGGAGCTGCTGCCATAATATTATCAGCATTACAGACAGGGATTTGACCCTTTCTACGTTTAGCCTGAAATATGACGCTTAGAAGCTACGGCCTTTCATGTCTGGATCTACTGATGTTCGTGAACATGTGACAGAAACGTATTCCACCATCTCAAAACTGTATCTAATGGTCTCTTTACGTACATTATCAACCTTAATTTTCTCGCGGAGTTCAGTTTTTCCACTTAAATAATCGCGTAGGCCTCTTAAAGACTTATTTTCTTCATATATTCTTCTTGTCTCAAGCCACGAAAGTCCCCAATATTCTGCATAGGATCTAATTCAAAAACATGAATGAACTGCACATTAGTTTTCTAAAGTATCTGTAAATTATTCCACTGGTACAAATTGTTTTCTTGCATAATATTATTTTTCAGCGATATTAAGAACTGAAAACGCATTTGGCAAAATTGTGACTGATTTCGTGGCAATTTAGAAGCTTCAAGACTGATTCTACTAACAGCCAGAAACAGCCGAGTAGTAAACTGACCAAATCCAATGAATAAATGACTGAAATTCTTCATAAGTAGCTTTCAGAACACAAATTTTATATTGTTTTGTTCAGTTCAGGAGATACCTACGTCCCAAATCTGTTGACCCTTAAGCGGAGATTGTGAACACAGGGTACTTACCCTTACAAACAAGAAATATTACGATGCAGTGGTTAGTAGTCCTGCTTCACATTTGGAATATCCCATATTCCAATGCCGGAGGCACGCTATCCTAAGTCTTTCCGTGGTTTTCCTTAGTCATCCAGGAAAACAGGCCACTACTTTTACGTCATTACCAATTCATCGTTTACAATCATTATCCAATTCGACGCCATGTAGGTGAGAAGGTGTTGTTAAATAAATTGAGAAACAAGTTACATCCCCTCTCCAATAGGAGTGGAGAGGTGAGCGCTTATATTATTTGCAGTTATCAAAGTGCCGGTGCTGAACAGATGTATAAATTAGTTCTGCTGTATCTGAGTATATCTACGGCTCATCGTTTGACAACAGCATAGCAGAGTGTGCAATAATTGAACATCGCAAATAATAATGATGGCAAAATTTCAAAGGTGTCGACGTATGAGTGGGTTTGATTGATGTGCAGGAGATACGCCAGATATTTAAATTTTGTGTCTGGTCATGTGCGTTTTGTTGCCATCTATTCCAGACGAAGTGTACGTCACAACGTAATGCATCACATAATTCCCTCATCGAAAGGAGATCCGCTGTGTCCCCTCGGCTTCCACCCTCAGGTCCGGTGGCCCACAAGATGTAAGAGGTGTTTTAGGTAAGTAGACATCTCCCATATAGACTGATCGACTAGCTTTAAATAGATGTGGGGTTCTCACGGCGAGGAGTATGAAGTTGGTCGTCTTTTGGGTCGTAGTCTGGTAAAAGTTTTCCGACGTTTCAGACGTATTTGCTGCCTCTATTTTTACACATCGCCATTCTGATGGTGGCAGCAAGAACCTCTTAAACGTCAGTAAATTTCTACTAGACTGCTCGGCGTTACAATCCAGAAGACGGCCATCTTCGTGTTGCTATGTAGTTCACACTTTTGATGTACAGATAGCGTCTAGCTACCTTCAGATTGATTTCATTTTGATTTAAAAACTGTGGGACTCGTCCCGACGTATGTCTGAAACGTGCGTCGATGTGAAATAAACGTAAGATCCCACGTGATATTCATGCATTTGTGCACGTTTCTCCCTTTTCTTATTTTAAGACTATTCGCTATCGGACTGGCTCCGACATATGGTCTAAATGTGTCCTTGTAAGTCACGGACCGTGCATTTCCTTAACATCTTCAATTTCACGGATGTCGCAGTAACATCCATACTTAGGCAAATTGTAATCGGTAATATACAAGGAACTCATTCATCGGCCCAATATTTTAAATGTATCAGTCGTTCGGATATTGACGATGGTGTTTCTTCTGTGATCCACAGAGACTACAAAGAGCATGGCTATCGTAAGGACCAAGACGCGCTCAAGAGGGATGAGACCACGGTGTCGTCTCCCAGTCTGTCAACCTGGAACTCAGTCTCATCACGGTACGCTTAACTGAGCAAGCAGCCAACACAAACATATTAAAGTAGTTAACATTCAGACAGCGTTTAAAAAATTCGGCAAGTGTTGTATTAGTGTTCGTACTAAAAATTCATTCTCCGTCCTCAAAGCCCAAAAAGAATTATTATTTCATATTTTGTTGATTTGTAACAGTTCTGCAACGAGAAAAATAAAAGCTGATTTTTACATCGTCTTTCGGATTTTGCTAAAAAAATCTCTCTATATAAAAATAATGACATTACAATATTAAAACTTAAAATCGCATTATTTGAAAAAAAAAAAGTACTTTTTATTCATCTGTGACCTTCGTTCAAAAGCTCTCAGTAGCTCAGACTCCAATGCCAGCGTCTAATGATAGGTTGATGGCTGAATGATGAATCAGAAAGTATACAGAAAAAGCATTTGTGGCCTGATTTAAAGAACCGTGCCAGAATTTGCCTGGAGGGTCTGGTATTGTTACTTCACTTGAATCAAAATCGAAATTATCGATATTTTGAAAAAAAGCTAATTGTAGAAAAAATGGTGCATGATATGAAATATGGTTTTCATTACAATCTACTACTTCTGTTGGACTTCATATTCTGTGCGAAGTTTATTTGATAAAACGCTAGAAAATTAAATCATGACCTTCCAGTTTCTTATACGTAGTTTGATTAATTTTGTAACGATAAAATTTGTATCTGCAATGGAAACAATTCAGGAACAACTTGGTGTACTAATTTACAAAGGACGAATTTAGCAAATAGATGTACTGCAAGTTGGATTAGCCTTTCCACATTCCTTTAAATAAGACTTTTCCGCATTTGCTACGATGTCTTCCACGGAGATAATCCCGTTGCCATCAAACAGGTCTTTGTCAAAGATATGCACTGAAATCTAGTCCTGGAAATGGCATATCATATTGTTGTGGTGAGCTCTTGTAGAAACGTAAATAAATACGGTTAGGTTATAAATACCGGCTGTTGTTTACACATGTCAGTAGCGATCAGTAGGATGTTCACAACACCCAGACGTTCCGTTGACGCAAATTCAGTCGAGAAGTTAGGTGCGAGGAATGTTTAGATTTTCAGTGAGACATATTAACAGAAGTGAAATATCCGTGTTTAAATTTCCCATGCAGTCATATTTATCAAATTCCTAAAAATAACAGTTCTTCATGTAACGTCTTGATACACTCTCGCCAATATCAGAAACCGTAAATTAGGACTTAATTATACAGATTAGAAGTCTGTAACTACTGGGTTTTTAAATTATGACTAACAAATTTGTCGAGTTTAGTTCTGTTTACATTGTTACTTGTGAAGTACTTACGTTTAGTACTGAGTGAATTCTGCTTCTGTCCCAGATAGCAGTCAAGCTCTGTACGTGAGATTTCAGGTTCCCAAGCTTTCAGTCTGCCTAATGCGAAATGAAATTACACGCCCTCCTTTCAGGTTATTTTTGGTTGTCCTTTGGGCCATTAAACGAGGGCGAAAATACTCGACAATATTCACAATACCTCCCCTTAATATTTAAGTCACAAGGGGCCGGACACGGTTGAGAGACCCGACCACTTCAGTACCCTGAGGACGAGGACAGAGATTGACCTCGAAACGTTGGTCTCTTCATGTTTCAACCACTTGACGGGGCTGATAGCCCGAGAGGATTTTATTGTACACAGTCGCCGTGAAAGCTCAAGATCATACTTGTATTTTATTTGTGTCGGAAGATGGCTGTCTTCTGGGTTATATTGCCATCTGATGACTCTTCGCTCTGATGATGGAGGTAGAAAGGACCTCTGAAACCGCCATCTTCAGACTCACTGCCATGAAAACCTCAAATCATACTTATTTGCGTGCATTCCTCATATTTTTCACATCTAGTTCTCGTGATGGCAATCGGAGTGACAGCTCTAGCAGCACAAACAGTGGTGTCAGTACTCGTAATTGGAGCAGTGGTGGCTCTTCAGGTTCACGAGGGGAAGACAACTCCAAGTATGGCAGCAGTGGTACACTCACATCCAGGTATATTTTCCTAACAGTTTAAAATTTTGTCTTGCTGTTTCAAAAATATTGCATTATAATACTAAGTTCAACTCTGTTGGACTTATTATTATGGTTCAAGTGATACGAACTACCTCTAAGTATATATTAAAACTCGGTACTTGTGGGTTTTCGGGACGCATTGCTTTAAAAATAGGTTAGGTTAGGTTAGTTGTCATTTATTTAAATCAAATATAATAACTTTCAAGTATATGTCATTTATCCACACACATGAACCGAACCTAACCTAACCTAACCTAACCTAACCTATTTTTAAAGCGATGTATCCTGATAACCCACAAGTACCTAAATCTCATAATTGGGTACTACGTGAAGATTGAGACAAGCAACCTCCAGAATGTATATGTATTTTTCCAAAAAAGTAGAATGATTGGCTAATATCCAAAGGTAATGCTTGCATTAAAACAAGAGTGGGTATTCAGACATACAACATTATAGTTATTATAACACACAATGTTTCTTTACTTATACATACTGGTATTGCTGCTCGCGCTTGAAGTAGGACAGTAAAGTGGGATTCAAATGATTTTATGTTATGATGTGACGAGAAGTAAATAATGTCAAAACTTATTATATTTAGGGTATGAAAAGGGTGCTGATATATATCAAATTAAAACAAAATACATTTCCCAGATTCAGCAGTGGAAGGCCAGCTGCATCTTGGACTTCAACACCTGATCTGGGAAACCTGAATGACGATACAAGAGCAGATATTACCACAGTCAGTCTTACACTGCCTAGAAGGAGAAGAGTACCACAAGTGGACACTGGACAAGGTACTTAGATATTCTTGAATTTTTTTATTGTTTTTACATTGCTCCCTTTGTGTGTGTAAAATCCTACAGACAGGTCTGAAATTAGAAACAAGATATAGAAACATATTATTTTGTCTCTGGAACAACTTTGGTTCTGACTATAAGAATCAAATTTGAAAAGTTTTATGCAAGATTTCCATCATATAACCAACTGTATATTCATTTATGACACACTAGTAGCCGTATTTAAATTATTTTTAAAGCTAAATAATGTAAGAATAATTTAGACCACATATGTAAGTACCAAACCAGGAAAATGTTAAGGAGGTGGGATGGAGTTAAGCTTTATCCATTCTGTACCTTGACACTAGATGGAGGTTGTTACCTTCCTGATGGGAATTAAGCCCAGGTTCAAAACTAGTGACTTTGCTGGCTAAGTTGTTCTTCTAAAGACTGAAAGTCAGAGTTTTGAGGTAGTTTTTTTTTGACTTTCACTGTGCCACTGAGTCAGGATCGGTGTTGGGACATAGTAAGCTCATTCTTATATCTTGATAAACGTGAAACATTAACTCATTCCAGTCATTTATGTATCCATTAAATAGATTCTCCAGAGCCAGTGGTTTCAGATTCCTTTACACTACGCCATCATCAAACACCCTTATCAACAGCAGAAAATGAAAAAAACAGCACAAGCACTTCTAGTGCAGCTGCAGCCAGTCATACCACCACTCAGCCAACGAAGCAAACTAGGTCCTCAAGAAGAAGTATGAGCCAAAGGTAAGAATTATTTGTAATTTTGAAGAATGTTGTATAACAAGGATTAGACAGGCAGGACATGTACAATGCATGCAGGAAACAAAAGATGCATACAACATTGTGGTATGAAAACATAAGGTAGAGAGGTTAGTATGATGAAACAGACATAGATGGCAGGATGATGATAACTCTCTTTCAACCCACCTTATGTGTTTGTAACACCTGATCTCTTACTTAAAAAAGTAGTTATTTTATATATTTCATGATAAGATATCTTGGGAACTAAAACAAGTATATGAATGAAATACTGCCCTCATATATTTATGATCCATCAAATTATCAACACAATAATTAGCTTTCCTGCAGGTGCCACTAAGAAAAGGAAAAAAATAATCCAATACTTTTCATCACAAGAGCCAGGAATGAATATTGTACATATAAAGATTCATTTTCTAGTGTTTAGTTCAGGAGGGCTAACAATTTTTTTTAAATAGGTTGTGACAGTGTGAATTGTACTAAATGACAGGCATTTGTGATAATGCTAATGAAGTTTTTGGTTCTGTAGTAGAATTACATTCTTTGATCACAGTGACAGTGTAAAGAAGTTCAAATGGCAGATATTTGTGATGTTAGCAAAGTTTTTGATTCCATAACAGTAGGGAATATTTTTATCACATGTATGAGCACCAACTAATTAATGAAAATTCTATACCAGGAAGTTAAATTGTTGTACAATCATGACAAAATTGGCAAGCTAGAAGTAGGGGATTTAAATGCAGTGTACATATTTTATTGAATCCAAAGCTCCTCAAGATAAAATTCCATGTAGGAAAGACTGATTTCAGATGGAAATTGCTATTCAGTATGTAATTGTCTTTGAAAAGAATTATACCTTAATTTCACTTGACAAGTTTATTGTGTGTAATATGTAATGATTTTGTGAAGTTTAAAGAGTGTGACTGGTAATTAAGTAATAGTTTCTGGATATGAAGAGGTGACAGAAACTGGAACAAATTAACTGCTATACATTTTTATGAAAGTGTCAGTTTCATAAATAATTAATCTCTGTGATAACACAAAAAGCAGCACTGGTACCAGTGGTGAGAATAAGGACGTTGGAAAACTACGTCGATTGAGGATACAGTCACTGAAAGAAGTGCATTCTGTTGAGGAACCCACAAACCCAGAAGTGGAATTCATCATTCAGGTGAGCACTGTATTGAAGATAGAGTTCTACAGTGATCTTTATTCCTTCCAAATCACATTTATATGCGGTATCTGGAAGCTGGTAGTTGAGTTTACTGGACATGTATCTCAAAATGATTTACTAAATCTTCAGTATAGATAATACAACATTGTACCACTTGTGGACTATTTTTCTATGGAGTTTCTGTGAAGATTGAGACACTGGTCTTTGTTAGGATAAGTTTTCGTTTCCTCTGTCAATGTTGTTCTTTCCAACCATAATTTCTCTGCTGTTTCTGCTTCATCAGTTTTAAAACTGAAGTTTGACTAAGAAAGGTGTTATAGCCACTTTTCTGCTTCAGGTTAAATCTTCTAAAGGAAAATCATCTTCTAGTAAAACTAAAAATGCCAGTGGTAATGGAGCTAACAGCATTAGTAGTAGTACAGATGTCAAGAAGACATCAGGAACATTATCCTTACAAGGCTCTAGTTCATCTGGAAGTAGTGGCAGTAGTGGGACCAGTGAAGAAGAAGGAGACAGTGATGATGATCAGTCAAGTGTAGCAGGGACTGAGACAACAGAGACAACGCTAGTTGACAATAATGAGAATGAATTACAGGTTTGTTGAATTTATTGTGTGTGGATGGTTAAGTAGCAGATATAGATTTAAATTGTGGTGATGCCCTGCTATTGGAAAATCAAATATAAACATGAAAAATAAAATAAATAAATAACAAGTGTATTCAAATTTAAAAGTCACTTTGCTTACAAGTTTAATGTAGAGAATTAACCGAATTTACTGATTGTTGCAGTTTTGTATTTGAAAAGTTCTGAATTTGAATATTAGCCCAAAGCCTAATTACCTTAACAGGATTTTTATGGATTTTCTTAGCTTGCTTTAGAAAAATACTAAGATAATGTTTTATAAGAGACCATGATAACTTCCTTCCATATCCTTCCCAGTTCATCATTTACAGTCATCCTGCCATTCAGTACTATGAAACCTGTACAGTTAAGAAAGTATTTAAATAAACCACGAATCAAAATGTCTAAAACCAAAATTTGGTTTTTGAAAACATTGGTATAATGTATAGGTTGTCTGTTTCACAGGAGCAGATTGATAGCTTGAAGCAGGAACTGGAGACAATGCGAGCACGATGTGAGCGAGTGGAGAGGGAGAAGAGTGACATATTGCTGCGTCGGATAGCAGCCTTGGACACAGCTCCCAGCAAGACTGCTGCTTCTGAGGTACAAAAATTTAATGGATTTCATTAGGTTTGTTATCAAATAAAATAAGAATGAACTTGTTACACCATTTAGGGAAATGGTGAAGTGTGTCTATACACAATGCCATAAGATTTTATAGGAATGTGGAGGTTTAACTCTTGTTTTCTAGACCTCGCATCAGTCGAAGGTAAATGATCAGCTTCGTGCCCCAGCTATTTTGTGCGCAATGACAGGGTCTTCAGGAAACAATAGGTAAGAGGCTAGATATTCCGTAGAACCAGTCTGGATACAGTGGTGGTAAGTATTAAGGTCTTTGTCAAGTCCAAGAATCAAACCCAGCCTTCCAGTTTTTAATCAGTTACTTTTTAAATATGAGACCATTAAGAAACCCATTAATCAGTCAGTAATCTAGTAAATGAACAAATAAACAAAGTAATGTTGCTGTTTCCTCAAATTGGGAATGTTTCATTGTGATCACAGGTGCTGAAGCTGCAACAGAAAGTAAATGAGTTGCAGAGTCAAACAGAAGATCTGCGTGATGACAAAAAGAGTCTGAATCTGAGAGTCAAGGAGCTGGAAGAGGAGCTGGGGAATCGACCTGACAAGATGGCCACACAGCGGACTGTTGATGAAATGCATACCAAATTACTGGCTGCTGAGACACTCTGTGAGGAACTGATGGATGAGAATGAAGACATGAAGAAAGAGCTCAGAGATTTGGAAGAAGAGATTGAAGAAATGCAAGACAATTTCCGGTAATAAACCTAAATTATCTTCTTTCATAATAATTGGGTGCTTTGAAGCCTTTTCCATGGTTCAGAAGTGAAACTGGTCTCCTTATAGAGCTTCTTATAGAATATCTGTTTCCTCTGGGAGTACATGTATGCCATTTTAGAAGTTCCATCTTCTTGCAACCTGTCTACATGTAGTCTCTGATTTAATGTACACTCTTTTATGTCATGACCTTTATTTGTTTTTGTAGTCTTATTCCTTATTTATTCTTTTTGTAATTGGTCTCAGAATCTGCACATTTGAGATTCCTGAGATCACTAGTGGGAGTAATTTTATGAAGAAAAGAGGTAAGTTGTGCGATACAATCTTTGTTGGCCTGTAGGGTCCCAAATCCTAGAGCTTTGACACAGAAATTCAGAACTTTATTTCTAGACCACTGGGTTCTTATTTCAGATTATATAAGCTTAAATTCAATTTGAACACTAGAGTTTCATGACTGTCTACAGGTTTACAATAATGGTTTATTCATTATATCAATATTATATTGAATGATTTCTTTTAATTTAAGCATATCAGTATAACAATAACAAATCATCTTAAGACAGCAATGCAGCAAATGTGTATATCAAGTAAACTTCAGTCAAGTAAATTTCAATATCCAACATAATATTGGTATAATTAGTGCCTCAGTTTTCATTACTCCTTTAAAATACTAATGTCTGTATTTCTTGTGGGTTGTACATAGAGAGGACCAAGCAGATGAGTACACGTCACTAAAGAAAGAACTGGAGCAGACAAATAAGAACTGTCGTATATTGTCATTCAAATTACGCAAAGCAGAAAGGAAGACTGAACAATTAGATGCAGAAAAGTTAGAGGTAGAAAGGAAGTTCAAGGAAGTTGCCGGAGGTCAAACAGGCCTTGAGAAGGTTGAGAGAATAAAACAGTTGGAGCAAGAATTGGCAGTTGCTAATGAGGTTAGTGACACATAAAATAATTATTTACAGACTTTTTTGTCAAGAATCAATTGCCCAGATAAACTTTTCAATTACACTATCAAATGACCAGTCTAATCTTTGTTATATAAGACAGAAACTGTAAGATTAATTTTGACCAAGATCTGGAATATACAGCCTGTTATATTCTATGTGTGATACGATATATACTAGCTATTAAATAGTTTATTTTTTTCAGGTGGCAGTCCGCTTGCAGAAAGAACTGGATGAAACAAATGCCAAGCTGAAAGCCAAAGAAGAAGCAAGTAATAAAGAAACAACAAAGAAAAAGGCTCCTATGCTGGGAACAATTGGAAAAGTTTCTTCAGGCGAGGTTAGTTGAACAATTCCCATATCTTATAAGTTATCTTCTTTCATTGACATTTCCAACAGTGTGAGTAATCCTATGATAGAGACTTTCCTTATTTTCTGTATCCTTACATAAGCATTTTTGTGTCTGTGTTCAGTTTTCGCTACTCTGTTTCTTATGGGAGAGGTTCAGATTTTTCATTGTTTCTCATAAACAGAAGTGTGGATGAGTGTCATTTTCACACAGCCATTTTATGGAGATGGACAAGATGGTACATGTAGTGAGAGAGTAACTCTACCAGATGACCTGATATGTGATGTTTAAGATGATTCATTGACAATTTACGATCAAAATCCCATGCAAAGTTAGAACAACCCGTGTTTATATTTTCAGTTGGTTCTCTTCACAAATTTCTTTTCTTCCTTTATTAATTTGACATATTCATTTCTTATGCGCTCACAAATTCCTATTTTCATCTGTGCATAACGTATATATAGAATATGACACATAACACATTTAACAAAGTACAAAACTCAGGAGTTTAACTTGCTGATAACAAAATTTGTATAAATTGTATTCATGAATTCAATCCATACCTCAAAGAAAACACAACATTTCTCCATTACAAAAATCAGTTTTTTAATTTTGTTTAAAGACACAATTCGTACTTACACTGTTGATCATATGAAACCCACAAACACAAAATATAGTTACTGATTGTTAAAGCGCGTGGTATATATAGTTACCATCTTCCCATGTTAGTGGACTCTATATATTATCTGAAGTTAGCACTGTTAAATAACCAAAGAATCAGTTTGCCAAGATTAATTACTTTTATTGTTGTCATTGATGTTGAAACAGAAGGTATCTCGGGCATCCCTGACCAGAGGTGGATCACAGGAAGATCCACAGCAGCTGCTCCGGGATCTTCAAGATTCACTGGAACGAGAGGCTGATTTGCGTGAACAACTGCGCTTTGCAGAGGAAGAAGTAAGCTATGTGTAACAATAATGAAAAATCTGTTTACTCCCAGCAGATTCTGATATGGTGTATTCTTATAGTATCCTGGAAAATTCTTTAGACATCCTTAACCTTTAAAGGTCTTTTAAGACACTGCACTGGTATCTCTAGTTGGCCCACCTAGACTTTAAGGCACGGCTCACACCGCATCATTTAACATAGCTTTGTGATTGTTGAATTGGATTCTAATCCATGAAAACAATGTTAGTATACTCTAGAAGGCTGATAGGAAGAATAAGAATTCTATAGTTTTTCTGAGGAAAAAGAAACATTTACATGATGTGTTCACATTTTAAAGCAAATACATTAATAAAATCACAATAATTTTAAAAATATGAACCCAATGATAGATGATAGTGTAAATACATGCAATATTCCCTTCAATTGGAAATAATCTTACTTAGCTACAGTTTGAGAAATGGTTCAAAGCTGTAAAGTTAACTTTTCTGTATAATGAGTATTTTATTTCATTGTAAAATATGAATATGTTGATATTAGAGCTATGTCACAAACCTTCAGGAACACCCTTGATCTGGTTAATTCTGACATGTTTCTGTTATGAAAGTAGCTAGTTTTCACCTATATACATAGTGGTTACACTTGAGAATTACTGTTGTAAATATATTTCCCATTTATTTAAATCAACTTCAGCTTCAGAGGAACAAGAAACAAAGGATCATCATCAGAGATAATAGTGCTGATTGGAGAAATACGCCAGCATTGCCATCACTGAGGCCAGATGTTGTTCCATCATTATATCAGCAAGAAATATCCTCTGCTGGAATTTCTAAATGTCAGTTCCAGCATACTACTACTCAGCTGTATCATGAAGGAAATTGGAAAACTCCAGGAATATCTTCTGAAACTCAGACCAGTTTCTTGGACATTCCTACAACATCACAGTTAAGACCTGTCATTCTCCAGAGTCAGATTGATACGCAAATATCACCACTGACTTCTGAAGAAATCTTGAAAACGTCAGCAGATACTCAGACTATACAGGCTGCAGATTTTGTGTCAACTGAAGACAAAGGAACAGACTTTGATGCAGACTTATCACAAGTAACAAATACAGTACAAATCACAGAGTCAACTCAAACTGATTCCTCAATGCAAGTTTCTATGGAAATCCAAGCAGAGGAACTGCTAATAATAACAGAAATGTCTCAAATAGACATTCCCAAAGAACTTCAGACATCTACATCTTCTCTAACTATTCCAGAAGAATTATGTATAAAAGCTAACGTTTATAAAGAGTGGGGGACTTCTGTATCAACTCAAACTATTACACTTGAAACACAGACTATTTCCACAGAAACTGAACTCACTACAATAACATCTATAGCAACGCAGACTGAAGAGTCACTGGAGAAGGAATTTGTGACATCTTCAAATTTAAAAACTAGTTCAGAAATTCAGAAAAATATAGTTGGTATCACACATCAGCCATCCCAACTAAAATCTCACTTATTACTAATTTCATCCAGTGTACCTGAAGATGACAATTCAACATCTCTACCTAGTCCAATTATAGAACCTGATATATCTCTTGAAGAATTTACAGAGCTACAGATATCTGTTGGGACACAAACAGAATGTTCGTCACCATTTCCACAAGCAATGGTGAGCCCTATGCGGCAGTTCCAGTTTTCAGTACCAACGATTTTCCCACCTGGCTCTCTCCTCTCTAGAAGTTCACCAATGAGAACACTGCTAATGCCCCTAGGTATGATATGTTTTCAAGCAATGGATGAGTGTGATCACTGTGTTACAATAATGCAAAAACACATTTTTATTATTATCATTTCAATTTAAATTTGTTGCTATATAAAACATATAAGAACTTTATAATTGTTCTTACATCATACAGAAATTTTAAAAGAAGTCATAAATTTGAGAGCTGATTCTACTTAACCTCAAAATATTCAGTTTCCTGACTGACTGGTTAAATGGTCCCAAAGTGATACATCTTCAAATATATTGCCCATTTTTTATTTTATCCAGTCAGTTTTCTGTCCTTCCACTTTTTTTCTTTTGTCCATAGCTCTCTCATCATCTAACTCGTGGTTTTCCCAGTAGTATTTCTGTTGGATGACACTGTACCTACTTCTTCTTATTGTCTTTGACAGGGCTGCTGTTTGTTAGTGCCTGATATTAACATAATGCTATAATTAATAACCATTTATATAATAATTAAAATTCCTTGCTGTCCAGATAAACATCTGCTATTAATTTCCTAACTTTGAGAATAAACATTCTAGTTTCTTGACTGGTTTAATGCTTCTAGATTCTCCAGTTCTCTGAGTAAGTGGATAAGTATCCAGCATGATCCCTGACTGGCTGAATAAATACACCCATAACTCCAGTCTTCTGACAGGTTACACTACATTGTATGTTCAGTCTGTAACTACCATGCAAAAGAAAGTTTTCACATAAGTGTGATGTAAGTCCTAGATATTGAAGGTTAATATAAGTTTCCAACTTTAATGAGAACAACAGTATTTTAGAATATGGCTGTTTTCAAGACTTACCACTGTGAAAACCTTAAATCCTACTAACAACATTTTATATTGGTGTATTCTGTTGTGTATACCACAGGACGGTAGCTTCAATAATCCTTTCACATGAACTCTATAAAAATTTAGCTTACAATGTTTATATGTATCAGTGATTATATTATCATGTTTAAGTGAAGCTAGCCAAGAAATTTTCTGCCTTGCACGAAACTTGTGTGTCCACTGTGATGTTCAAAAGAGCCCACTACCAGTCCATCCTGAACATCATGAATCCAGTCCATACTTTCATCCTACTTCTTTACAATTTATCTTTTGTTAGGAAAAATGTCAACTCTCTTTTATTACTTCAGAATATTAAGTTATCTGACAATAAATTGGAAAACCAAGAGTGGAGTGATGGGATTGGCTCTTATTGTTATTTATGGAATTAAGTTGAAAGAAGTGTAAGATTAATTGAAAAATCTATACTTCTATAAACATAATGTCTGTCAAATACACACACACTGTAGTATTTTAAGTCAGCCTGAACAGAAAATGGATTTGAAAGAAATGTGTTTTTGTGGATTTGTATATTGAGTTATATTTTGTGAAAAAACAAAGAATCACACAGTTTCTTGAATGAGCTGATTTATTTGCTTGGTATTAGATTTGTTGGCATCATATTTATATGTTTGGTGTTCTACCCCTGTCTTTTATATTTTGATGTATTATATGCTTTAATAGGTGTAATGTACAGATAATCTCAGACTTGTGACGGGAGTGTATTCCTGAGAAAAGAAATATATATTGAATCAATGTAAATCATTCCTCAGTCCTCAGCTGTATTTTTTGCCCAAAATGATGTTATTTTATATAAGAACAATGCTAAATGAGATGAATTACTGTATTAATTAACAGTATTGCATTTAAACAGTGCTAATTTAAATGACATAAATGTTGGAGTACCTGTATTTGTACAGACTTTTATAGGTTGATGACAGTGTTTACCTTCAGAATTGTGACACCATGTGGGCTTGTAGGCAGGTACCAAAGTTTTGGAAAAAAATTCTGTCTTCATCTTTAGTAACTACCTGTCAGACCACACCACACAGACCATCACAACCCAAAATAATATTATCTTCACTGCCATAATAACTTCAAATCTCACAGTTCTTAGGCTTAGCTTGTTACTGTTTTTTAAGGCTTGTGATGCAGGACTCATCTTGTGACAATAATTTTCTAACATTTTGTTCACCATAATTTGGATATTCCAATCATATTAACAATGCATAATATTTAGAAAACAAATGTATATCCCATTCAAATCCCAGGTAGATTACTAGCTGTCCTTACTTGAGAGGTCTCATAATTTTCCTCAGTCTTTTAAGGCAACCATTCAGATAGTACTTTGAAATGTGACATGGCTTCTTCCTTCCATATCATTAACTATTCATTTTTATCACTCATCCTTCCATCTTCTTTGGTGATGCATAAGCTCTTCACTTGAAAGAGCATTATGAAGTATGTGAGAAACAATCATTTAATGTGTCATTCAAATAGTGTGTCCAGTAGCACAGGCTAGTTATGAATTCTCATAATTTTTCTCAGTATACATGAAAATGAATCAACACAAAACCATTCATCTGTCATCCAGCACAATTTTTATTGGTGTCGGTTCTGCATGGTAAACAATTTGTACATAAGTCAGCAGTACAAATAACAAGCGTTAAAAAATATACTCCAGCTTTGTACTCGCAATTTCTGAATATGTTCTTTGTGAATTTGCATTGCTCAATGCTTTTGTAGTAGATATTAGTGCTAAAAATTCATACTGTAGAAGAATATACACAGCTGTTGTTGATGAAACATATCGAGAACACACACACACACACACATATACATATAAAATTTATATTGTACTTTATTAACTATTTCAAACCTCATGCACTGAGAGTAGGTAAATTTGTAGAAAGCAGTGGTTTAAATGGGTTAAGGCTAAATTTTAGTTTAATGTTAAAGTATCAGTTACACTGGACTAATACAAACCAAAATAAAATATATGTGGAACTTCAAGGTTTATTTTCATGTTCATAAATTCCTGTCACTGGATCCTATTCTGGACCAGTTGAATCCAATACATACACTCACACACTAAGATCTATTTTAATATTACCCTTCAATCTATGAGTATGTCACCCAGTTGGTGTCCTTTAGATTTTTCAACTAAAATTTTGTATGCATTTATCATTTCCCCAGGTATGTTACAATATGTTCTACCCATCTCATCTTCCTACATTTCTCTTCTTCCCCTCTTTTATAATTAGGTTAAAAGAAGAAAGTTTTAAGTTCCTCATTTTGTAATATTTTCCACTTCTTGTTATCCCTTTAATATCTGCATATGCATTTGGTAAGAGTATACATTTACAAAATCACACAAAAACAGGATCTGGGTCTAATTATGTTAGCATATTACTAAGTGTTGCTTTATTAATTCTACTTCAGTGATTAGTCAGTAGCATGTTTGTTATTCAGTGTTAAAATGTTATGTCTAGTTCGGCCCATGTGTGGTGCTCTCCAGAACATTTGTGCGATTGTTGGTGTGTGTCTGTGTGTTTGCAGGCGCAAACTCTTCGTAAGAAGGCATCGAGAGTCGAGGATGATAACGAATCCCTGGTGTTGCAGCTCAAGAAAATGGCTACCAAGGCCAGAAGTATGTTAGACACGAAAGAAAAAGAAAACTGTGTTTTACAGTCTTTTCAAATAAAATTGAGAATTTTACAAAAAAATGAAACTGAAAACTATATTACATTAAATCTGACTTCCCTCTCTTTGCTTGCTTTTAACATTTTGCATAATAATTGCAGTGCTTAGTCAGTTGATATACATATTCCATGTAATTTTTTGTATTTACATTAAGAAATAATTTTTTCCCCAGAAAGAACATGAGTTATGGAGCTTGTTTTTGTTGAATTTGGTTCATTGAAGGATATACCAAGGTATACTGAGTCTAAGCAACAAAATATTTACAGAATTCCTTGATGGATGCTGAGATTAAATGCTTGTACAACAATGTGCTGGTCAAAAGTGTGTTTGTCAGAAGTGCAGAAGTATGCTTCAAAACTGTTAGAGATATCAAAACTGGCTGTAGTTGTTTAAAGTCTCAAAAATTTTAGACAGTTATATTCCTATTCAGCAGTTTCTAGATGTGCTTCTTAAGGGCTGGAGTAGCTGTAATGTGATGTTCACCACTCACTTCCATGCAGTACGACTACTGTTTTTAAAAATGTATATCCCCCGTGTTGTGTGCCTTTACTATCTGGTGCTTAACACACTCTTGATAATATTTTGACAAATTGTAACTCCAGATGTTACTGTATTATTAGTTACTTTACATTATTTCATGTCAAGACAAAATAGCTGTGGAAATGGAATCAATATATGAGAGTAATACTGCTCCCTTTATTAATTAGCTATCTAATAGATATCACTAGGAGGTAGGAGGAGAATGTGCACTTTCAAATGCTAAAACTGAGTCCGGCAATTTGTATAGGAGCATTTTTGAGTGTTTATGTCATGAGAGGATTAAGACAATGATTGATTTTACTGTTATCTGTTCATGTAAAAACATATACATTGAAAGTGTTTTAACCCATTTGCACACTTCAGCAGCTGTATGATGCTCTTAATTTGAGAGGTGTGACAGTTATATTTTAGGCAAGGGGTACAACATGCCCATATGAACATTTTGTGTTAATTTTGAGGCATTTATGTTAAAACTGAATTGATTTTGTGTTGGTATATTGTGTACATAAAATCAAATATGTCATTGGGTTAAATCTGGGTGGTTGAATTCAGGGATACTTCATTGGATTCTTACTTGCCATATCCATGAACATACAAGACATGATTATGCCAGGAAGATGATAAAAATACAGGCATATATCAAATTTAATGAGAATGTGATATCGCATGACAGCACTGCATTTAAGTCCTATTTAGTTCAAATCATACTTTTATTTTAAATTCAATGTGCATTCTTAAAATGTTCCCTGTAATGACCCAAAACTAATTTTCTCCTCTTAATGAAGACATTAACTAACATTGTTCTTGTCTGATTTTTCTGAGCCATGACCATTTTCTAAAGCTGCATTTTACTAGAGAGATTCTCTGTATTTGTATTAAAATCTTGAAGGGCAGTTTGCCATTCTAAATTTAGTTGGGATTTCACATGGAGGTTGAATTAACAAACTAGTTACTATTTCCCTGGGATTTTTATCTTATTTTAAGCCTTTCACTGTTAATCTTACCTGTGCTGAGTAGTTTGTACAGAAAGGTTTATTTGTACATTTAGATGTCAACTTGAAACTTCCAAAGTTGTAAATCTTGTTTATAGCAGGGAAATGGTTAAAGAAAAAATACACATCAGTCATCTGTTCATTAGTAAATATTAACTTGATTATAAAACTTTGGATATTTTTGCAGTGCATACATTCCTCATCTTATGAAAGGAATGCATTAACTGAAGTTACTTTTTAACCAAAAATTTTCAAATGGAAATGGATTTCCTGTTAATTTAATGGCAATAATTATAGATAAAGTATATGTGATATTTTTGTATGTATTATATAAATCCATTTAGATATTTTCTTTTTTATGCATATATAGTTGCACTCACAGATGCCAAAACGTTCACAGTAATGAAAATAGGTGGCAACATTCTATTTTACAAGTGCTGCCACCACAAATTAGTGCTTAGGAGTGCTTCTAATAATCGTGTCAAAATTTTGAAATATCATAGTATGTATCATGGCTGTTATTTCTTGTTGTTCTCAGTTGAAGTGCATGGGAAAGGAATGTAGGAGAAAGCAGGGATGGTATCAAGAGAGTGGAAGGAAGAAAGGGTTAAGGGTTAAGAATTTGAAAGCTTTCTTTTGCACTTGTATGCATATTAACTCTAGTAAAAGAAAGTAAATACAAAGCACACACATATGTGTATTTATATTTTATATGTAATAGAAATTAATTTCATATGAACAGTAGTAATTAAAACAAACACAATATAAATGAAGAAAGGAACATTAATTACAAATGAAAATAAAGCAGTTATATTTGACACTGACAAGTAATTGATTACTCATTCAGTGGTAAAAGTTTATGGGTGAGGTTAAGATTTTCAGTTTGGAATGTTTTTTTATTGTGTAACTGATTATTAATTCACTGTTAAAAACTGAAGGGGAAGGTTCTAAGGTTCAGTTTTCTTTATTTTATTGTTGCAAGATTTTGTTGTGTACACTGAAGTAAGGATTTTAAATTCTGAATGTACATTATCATGTACAGTTTATTCATTTAACATAGTAAAATAAGGAGTTGGTGTAGTTTATCCCTATATTTCTTACATTTTATAGAGTTTTTTAAACAACAACAAATGAAAATGATTCATAACCCTTTATATTTTGCAGAGTAGGTCTGTTCATGATGCAAAATGTACTTTTCTGCACAGAGGAACTGTTCTGTCACAACAGTGAAAGGATTATGTTAAGTATGCGAATGAATTTATATTTTTCTGTGAAAGCATATTATGTGTCCATAAAATGATTTGATTCTATCAGTATTTATCAGTTTTTATTGGACACTGTAAATATGAAGAATATTACGACAGAGAATACATCAAATAGTGTATCAGTTTAACAAATGGGGTGGTATTTTAATAGGTTTACATACCCTTCACGAGTTTAATATATTTCATGTTCATCGCATGTATAACAAACAGTGAATTTACTAACATAGAATGGCAACTTTCAAAATATGGAATTTATTTTAATAATGTCTCTGATGAATACCATACATTTCTCATAAATGGTGAGAAAGGAAACAAACAACAGACTAATGTTCAAATAATCTGAGTTACTTGGAGGGGACTGTATACAATTTATGATTTACAGAATATGGAAGCTTCTAAGCATTACATTTAACATAGAAGTTTCAATTACAGCTATAAAGTAGATTAAAATACAGGATTGGTGCCCCTTCTAATCACATACAACTTATTTAGGTATCACTTGCATTAGAATGATATGGTATTGTTAAGGTCATTGTACTTATACTTAAAATCTTATATTGAGTTTGACTCTGTTCTTTCTGTTACCACTGTATTTTTATGTTATATTTGGTTGTTGTTTTACTTTCATGTTCATTAACTGTGTTTGTGTTCAATTATTCATAAGGAAGAAAGACTGCTTATGACTCAATTTATCTTTGTGTGTTAACATGTGTATTTGTTTCTGGTTCAAAAGTGCACACAGAATTTTGAGGATGCTTATAATAAGAGTGAAAGCAGTGAGATAAACGGGAAGAGACAGAGTATAAAGATTTGAATATTGCAGTCCCCTAGCACATGCAGCATGGAACATATTTAAATTATCCATTTCTCAGGAACAGTTGTAACTTGCATGGAAATAATAGCCCACTGATCATGAAATTAGCCTACAGTATGCATGGAATCTACTTTAATTTTACAGCAGGCAGTTAGATTGCATTTTTATTAATCACAGTTAAGAATGTTTGTACTTTTGATTTGCATGTAGTATGATACCAGTTTTCTAATTATGTTGTGTTGTCTATACATATAAAGTTACTGAGTTTCATGCAGCCATCACTGTAAATTTTATGCTTCTTATAGAGTGTGTGTGTGTGTGTGTGTAGAAAGAGAAAGATTTAAAATTTGAAGAATTATTATTGAAACTCACATGATATTTGAAATATTATTGCAGAGTTAAAAGAATATCAGAGAATATTGTACTAATGCTTTTAATTTTCCTTTGTTTATATTATCTATAACATTTCTGTAAGTAATACACACACACACTTTACTTTAGGTTTGTGTTATGCTGAAAAAGAATCATAAAAAGAATTACATGCACATTTCTTATAAGCTTCAGAGAAAAGCTTCTTTTACAAAGGTTTACTATTTCAAATATATTGGCACTATAATATAACTGTCATGTTTGCCTCCTTAAAAGAAGTTTATTAATTTAAAGGTCGCCGACACAGTCCGAGCCCAGCGCGGTTGACTCCAGAGCCATCTGTTGAAAAGGATGAGGGTATATCAGATGAAGAAGATCCTGCAGAATTGAGGATATTGTTAGAACTTAATGAACAGGTGAGTTTCTATTTCCCATAAAAGATTATAACTGCTGTTGATATTATTCATCTTGGTGTTTTATAGTGGTGGGGAGAGGGGGTATGTGGATGGAGGTTACAAAACAAAAATCACTAATATGGGATGCAAGCACCAAGAAAATTTATGCAGACTGTAGATATAAACATTTCCATTTTTGTGACAATTTTTTGTATTTTTGTTACAAAAATTCTTAAATTTGCCTTAAAGTTAAATGTGAAAAACAATGTACTAGGTAATTGTGTTTGATTTCTGCTAGTATAGACTGCCACTACAGAAATGATAGGCATGACTTTATTAAAGCATAAAAAAATCACTCATAATCTCAGCAGTCCCACATGTTTAAGAAAATCTGGATGTGATTTTTGTAGGAGGCAGCGGTATTGAGGCGGAAAGTGGAAGAATTGGAAAGTGAAGGGGAGAACATGAAGCACAAACTGAAGGAACTTCAGAATAAACTTACAGAGAAGACAGCAAGGAAGAACTTGGTAGCATCACTAGGAAGTTCTGAACCAGTTGCAGGAAGTGCACTACATGAGCAAAAGCTGAAGGTAATGGGAGTACCAGAGATTGTGGTGGCAGTAGTAGTAGTAGTAATGACAACAACATCCTTTCAGTCATAATATAATATTCTCTCCCCACATTAATGCTCAAGTATCATAGCCTTTGAAGGACCTCTTTCTGATACAGATAAACCAAGATTTGTGTGGAGTTATGTTCCTGGGGGGGAAAACAAAGTTGGAAAGGACATGTTAATAGAATGAGCTTTATTAAAAGATGTTTAAAACTGAAAAAAAATGTTCAGAGAGACTTTCAAAACTATATGAAGATTCAATTTTGTAATACCTGTAATAGACCATCTAGGCCTAATACTGAGTAAGATGATGAATGGCAACACTTTGTTTATCACCACCATTACTGTTATAACACCTGTTTTGATTTATTCTAAATATTTGTACCAGTTAAGTTAGTAGTTATTAATTTTATTTTGGACTTAATATATATTGTTATAGTGTTACATATTCCATAATGACACCTTAATCTTTATTGACTGTTCATTTTGGCTTACATGTAGTTCAGCTGGCTGTATACTGTTAACCCCAGAGTTAAAGTCTGGCTAGCTGGCCATTTAACAGGGGAATAAACACCCTATTTCCATAGGATAAATGTTAATAAACATAGCATTAAAGTAACAATGGATTTCAGGTTTTGGAAGCTGAAGTATCTGAAGTACGTATGAAACTGATTGAGAAGGAACGGGACTGTGAGAGGTTACATGCTGAACTTACTGTCACACAGAAGAGATTTTCTAAGGGCTCTATTCAGAAGAGCAAGTGAGTTGGTTATTATACCTATCTTAATATGTTCATTCATTTCATTATTATGTTATTTCAGATTCTACAGTCATATTAAAGAATATATTTACAGATTTGTTGTAATTAATATAAACATATTGCAGATCACTGGATAGTGGAAATGAACAACAGGCCTTGGATCTGAAGTGTCAACTCCAAGTGATAGAACAGGAAGCAACAATATTGCGAACCAATATTCAAACACTGGAATCAGATAATGAGAAGCTTGTAGCAGAAAACAAACAGTTGCATCTTATGAGGTTAAAAAAGGGATCTACAGAAAAAGAATCTGAAGTTGAATTAAAAGGAAAACTTACATCATTGGAGACAGAACTTGCAGAAGCTTACAATAAGGTAACATGGTATAGCCTTTTCTTAAAGACTGTTTATGTCATCATCATTCATTGGAATTTCCACCTGCATCCATTCTTTCCCTGCTCTCTCTTTTATATTTTGCTTCAGTTGGTTTCTTCATACTTGACACCTTAACTTTTTGAGCCCATGAAAGTACCATATTTTTGCCTACGCTATCTATGCATCATGCAAAGTGGCAACCAGAAGCATTGTGTGAAGGAGTTGTCTTGAGTAATGTCACCCATTATTTGATTACTGTCTGACTGTTTGGTGATGAACACACAATATGAAGCTCCTCATTATGCATTTCTTTCCATTATTCTGATACTTTCTATCCTTTAAATCCAAATATTCTCCTCAGTACCCTATTCTCCAGCAAAAATGTTACAAGAAAACTGCTATGTTACTATTGTAGGTGAAAGAACTGGAAGTTAAACTGAAGGAAGATGAAACAACTAAAACAGCAGCAGAAGACAAGAAAAAGAAATCAGGAGCCAAGGACACAGTTGAAGTAACCAGACTGAAGAAAGAGATGAAAACAAAAATAGAGGAACTAGACAAATTAAAGGCTCAAACCAAGAAGGTCAGTATTATTGAAATGTTCTACTGTTCATGTTCTGCCAGGACAGTACATATGTTGCATATTAGCCAGTAGTACCACTAATCAGTTAACTCAGTTGTTTTCATGTTCCTTGAGAAGTTGATAATTTTTTAACTGATAAGGAGTGTCCCTGAGTTTGTTGTACCCAAATATTTTTACCCTGAGCACAGAAGCCCATAATTTGACTCTAATTGAGCCAGCTTAATCAGTTTTACTACTTCACAAGCTACACAATAAGATTCATACAAATATTTTATTCCCTTCTACTGATCTTTTCCTTGGGTTTTTTCTACAGAAAGTTTTGGTTTTTGGTTTCTTCCAGCAATTAACTGTAACAATATTATGTAAATAGTGTAAAATATAGATCTCCTCTTTATGTGTTTTTCTCCAGTAGCTTTCTAAAGCCTAAGATATTCATCTCGAAATCATGTTGCTTACTATTCATCGAATTTATTGAGATTCTTTTTCAGTTTGAGGAAGATAACGAAAATCTGACTCAAGTTCTGAAACGACTGAAATATGAAGTACTTTCCAGTGCTGCCAAGTTTTACAAGCAGCGGACACCAAAGAAACCAACAGATTTGACCTCCAAAGTGCAACTCAAGAAAATGGTAGAAGAACTTGAAGCTGAGATTGGTATGTGTGATGGTGTTTTGGTTGTCTTGTGACACTTTAAACTGCTGAGTTTGTGCACATGTTAGCATAAGATGTGGAAAAAGTGCTAAGATAATTTTCATTGTTTCACATAATAATCATTAATATGCTACACATGAGAGTGCCCATGTAATGCAACACAAATCCTATACATGGAACATGAACTCATGTAATATCTTTTCCAAACCACATAAAGTTGGAAGACATTTCATTGGAAACAATCAAAGGGTTAAATATGTAGATAAGTGGACAAGCACTCCCTCATAAAGAACATTTTATCCACAATGTGAAAGTTTTCAATGATAGCAGATTCTGGTGGTTTCAATTTTTTTAAGGTGAGGTACTGGTTTTGCTGAAGAAATCAGAAATGGAGAAATCAAAATTACAGGAACGGAGAGGGGCCACTGAGGAGAAGTTATGGAAAGAAGAGAAAGAAAAATTTCAGAAGAAGTTGGATGAAAAGAATAAAGAAGTGGAGGAACTTCAGAAATCACTGAAAGAAGAAAAGGAAATCTCAGATAGAGAAAAGAAGAAAGCTATCAAAGACAAAAAGGCAGTAGAAGATGGGAAGTAATGTTTTGTTATTTAATAGAATATAATATTTAGAAATCCTTACTAACTCTTACACATCAGTATACACAACAGGTTTATAATCAGGCACATTTAGCTTTTACCTGTACAACTTGTTTCCATTAGATCCATGTGAATATTACGTTTTCTTTTGCATAGTTGTCACCCACTCTGTGACAAAATAAATATTTGAATAGTTACCTCTACAGGTCAAATAATAATTATCAATGTGTAAAACATGATACATAAAATTAAGGAATTCTTAATGATTTTTCAAGCACATGTGTATATTTGGAGTATTACTCCACCATAAAGGGACCTTCTGAAATATAGATGTAGGTTGACTATGATAAATTTAATATCGTTTTCCATACTTCTCTCCCAACTGATGATTTAAATGGAGAGAAAGGCTTCTATCTATAATCTGCAAGGGATAAGATCAGAACTACAAGCCACTTTTTGAAAAACCTTTGGGTTAAGATTTGGCCAGCAGCTCCTTAGCACACGGCCTTAAATCCTTTGTTCCTGTATAGTGATAGTTAAAATGTAGAATTTTTATAATAATAACAAGGAAAAGACTAGATTCCACAGCACAAATTTAGATACTGTGGCAATCTGGTTTTCATGATTTATTAAGCTCTGTTTTTTGTGAGAAATGAGAATAGTGTCACTTCATGGGAGTGACAGTATGACTCATTAAAATATAAATTAACTGTTCATTTGTAATAAATTTTTAAGGTATTTATAAAAATACAAGTATCCATTAATGCATATTTAATTAGTATGTGATATCTGTCAGTGCACTAATCATGTCATTACTACTGGACTGAAACAAATGATTGATAAAGATATACAATATATTTTACAGAAATAAGGAAAGCAGAGGAAGAGTGCAGCAAGCTGCAGGCAGAGAGGAAAGTATGGGATGATGAAAGAAAAAAGCTGGAAGAAAACAAGAAAGTAGCAGAGGAGGAAATACGTAGAGCACGTGAAGAAGCAAAGAAATTATCTGAGGACCGAAAACGATTAGAGGAAGAGATCATCAGAATTAATGCTGAGAAAGGTAATTATGTAAAAGATGTTCATTAAGCTGTGGAGACTTGCAGATTAAAATTATTCAGTTTGTTCTTTGTGTCAATACATTTCTTAAGGTGATGCTTAAAAATAAACTTTTTTAAGCAATGCACTATTTTTTTCCAGTGCAATTTATTTTTCACATATGCATTCAGCTAACTAATCTCTGTTCCTGATTTTCTATTCATAAACTTTGAAGTTTTATATGACTCTAAAGAAATTAATCTGTAGGTTTAAAGTGTGGAAACTTTGTCACATTTCTGCCTGGTTCATTTATTAAAAAAATTGTTATATAGCTAATAATTGACCACGTTTACATAGTGAGGTGATGCTCCATGTTATTGAAATAACTGTGACATGACTTGAGAGCATCACATGTCTACCTAACATCATGTGGTAGTTTTTCCTAATACTTACTTAGGGCAAATATGTCTAATACTTGTTATTGCAAGAAATTTCAACAAATTTTTTCTATTGCTATTTCTTGTGCTTTTAAAAGATATAACTGTGATGGATTTTCCTACCAGTATCTCAAGTTTGTTTTGTTTACTTCATGGCAGTTTCTCTGTTATTAGGTTGTATAGTATTAAAGGTAAGATTGGTGTATAGATGACGATGTACAAGGATGGTGTATTCTAGCTTACTCTTTTAGCATTTGTATATGAGGAGTGAGGTTAGTATAGCCTGTCTCCTGGCTGAGATTTGAATGCAGAATCATTTGAATGTAGAGCAGGAGTGCCAGTGTAAACTGACATGTTTGTTTCTTTAAAGAGATATTTGTGAGTTTTAGAACTCTTTCATTATTTTCATGTGTTTTGTAGCTGAAGAGCGTTGATGTCTCATAAAAATACATTTCAGCTGATTTCTTCCAACATGAAATTAAAAATACTTAAATATTTTGAAGTTCGGTCAATAACGTGAGTAACTGTGGACTGCATGACTAGGGTACAGTTCCTGAAAGGGGCATTTCTCATTGTTACCATAATCAGATGACTATGTTGTCTACCCACCCTATCCAATATCTTTCCCAGGGAGTGAAACAACCATTGCTTGAAACTGACCATTCACTTCAATCTAGTGTCAAGGTTGAGAATCCATGGAACTTTACCTCCATTCTCCCTATATAGCTCTTTATGATGCATTGCTTAAATACAGGGACAGATTTACACTTCCATGAATCATTATTATGCTGTTACAGTGGCTATCACCAAGAAACAGGAGGAAGTATCAGTATTTGTGCAGAGAATAGAGTCACTGAAAACTGAATTGGAAATAGAACAACAACAAGGAGCTTCCTTAAGACAGAAACTGGAATCAGCTACTATAGTAGAACAAGAGAAAATCAAGCTACAGAGGGAGGTGAGGTTGATTTGATTTGTGGGAAATGGTAGGTGTGGGTAACTTTGACCACTGGAGGATGAGAGAGGAGGGTGATTATATCAGCCAAGGCATAAAATTGGCTGCTTACTTCCACCTTGTGCCAAGTCTTGGGCACAAGGAAGACGTTTTCTTTACTTTACTGTAGGCTGCAGTGTAATGTTTTGATCACAAAACTAAAATACAGTTAGCAAATTGTATCAAGTTTTAACCAAATTACATAGTACCCAATGGCATACTACTCTATTTTGTCTGAAAAAATGTGCTTACCTATATATATATATTACTCAAAACGTTTCAATAGTATTACCTAAAAAAAACATACACTAAACTTCTGCAGAAAGTTAGCTAATAAGTAGGATTTTCAGTTTGTGTAATTTAACACTTGTTATAGTAGCTGCTGTTACCAGAGTGGACATATGTCCCATCACCTTCAGATGAACACATTATTTATATGATGCATTAAAGAGTTATAAAGAATACATATTGTTATAAATACTGTGTTGCTGTATATTACTACATAAAGAAGAAAGAATGTCTTTCTTCACATTTCTTGTCAGACATGATCTGTGTAACCACTGCTTTTGATTCACAGATATTCATGAACAGAATAGAGGACACTGGTCCTGCAGTTTAGTCTTTCATTTTCAGTCTGCAGAATCTGACTTTGGTTTATGTTCTGCCAGTATTTTTTGAAGCCACAAGGATCCTTCAGACACAAAAGTATGTGAAACACTGATACATATATTTTCACTGTACTGAGTTTGTTTTCTTCTTCCACTGAAGATAATGGAAAAGGCAAAGAAGGTTACAGAGGCAGAGAAAAAAGTGAAGGAATTTGAAGAAAAACTGAAAAGGAATGAAAAATTGCTTAGCAATAACAAAACAAAGATCTCTAGACTTGAGAAAGAGGTAAGTCTGTGATGTTATGTCACTGACATTTGTTTACTTCTAAAAAATTTTTTTTTTATCATACTACTATTTATGTTATCTTACTGTTTACTATTTACATAACATTTAGGTTATTTTACTGCTATTTATAATAACCTTCTTTTCTAAGATTGTCTATTATGTAAATATAAATCAGAATTTAACATTTATTATAAATGAAGTTGAGCTGTAGAAAATTGTTTGATTTGTTAACTATTCTTTATTGGTTGATGATAAAATACCTCATTTTGCTGTTTTTATTTTGTGGAACAAATTTACTGTAACTGTTCATACAACAGTACTAGAAATCTGACTAACATATGTTTCTTTTCTCTTTCACTTTCCTTGTCTATCTCACATTCAATCTTCCTTTCACTTTATATAATACAAAATCTTGAATACATTCACTTAACTTTCATTAATGCCTGTATGTGCTATATTCCTTCGGACCTTATCATTGTGTGCACCTTTCGGATTTAACATTGTTTTATATTGGCCTATCTTTATACATCATGTAACATAACAAATCGCTCATATTTCCTCACGATCCTATGAATCAGCTTGAAGAAGAGAAAGAGAAAGTTCAGTCAAGTGAATTACAGCACCAAGACAAAACGTCTAATTGGCTGGCAGAACAAAACATTCTGAAGGAACAATTATTAGACTTGCAGACAAGAAATGACAATCTGCAAATGTCACTGGTTAACCGGGATATGACCATTGAAAAACTGGTGAGGATAATATCTTATGCTAAGAAAATACACCAATATTTGTTAGTCATGTGTACTACATGGGTAAGCATATATGACAACTGGTACCTTACAAGAACTTCTTCTGTATATTTATTTATTTTTAATAGGCTGCACCATACAATTTTTTTAATGTAACTTTGTTTGTATGAGGCATTTCAAATTACACCCATTTTGGGATTATTCTGACAGAAGTAGAGACCATTAAAAATGGTCCCCATAGTTGCTGAGGCAGGCATCCCACTAACATAGCACCTGAAGATCCACTTTGTAAGAAACTTGCTGAACTGCTGCTGAAACCACTGCAATTAAATAATTAATGCAACCATGAAAGAATTCTTGTTCATAGCCTGTGTGTAGCATGGAAGACCAGCTGCTGGCAAGAGACTCCTTCATTTGTTCTCTTTCCTGAAAAATATATATCTTGGTACTCATTTTAATTTAATGTTTGTGTTTATAGTTTCCTTTACTTTAGCAGCTTATTTTCTTAACTTTATATAGAAGATGTTTATAACTTATTGTATAGAAGATGTTATTACTTAAATTCTTGATCATTTGTTTTATATTCTTTATAGAGAAAAGAGTTAGCTGTGTTCTGTATGATTAGGGTTCAGTTTTTGGAAGGATGTATATTTTCTATCTTTACTGCCATGTCAGGATAAGATCTGGGGCTCAACTAACCTCCTTTTCACTGGTTGGTTCTTTTTTGGGGGTAAAGCAGCCAGTGCATGAAGCTGACCATTCATCTCTTCACAGTGTTGAGATCTAGAACTTGTGGAATCTACCTCCACACATCTTACATGCTTTCATGACATGGTGATTAGACACAAAGTCATCCTTGCCTTCATAATTAACATTCAATAACATTCAGTAACCCTAAAATGAAAGACGCACAAAAAAAATTGATAGATTCATAGTTACATAGAACAGAATGACTTTTGTCAGGATTCAAATAAATGCCAGCTATATTGTAAAGAATACTAAATAACTCGCACAGTAAAATTGTAGATTTTAAGTTTAAAATACAATTCATTTTTATAGGAAATTAGTGTGAAAGAAGAAAAGGAGAAGGCATTGACTGCAAATACAAGGGTAGGGTCAGCAGAAAACAAGGAGATAAAGTCCTTGCGTGAACAGTTGGCAGCAAGCAAGACTCAAGTACAGGAGTTGACTGCCAAACTGGAAAAAGTATGTAAAAATGAAGCAAATGCTGATGTCTTCCTTTATGGAACCTACTTTCCTATGTTTATAAAATATTATTAACTTAGAAGTACATCCAAAAACCTTTGCACTGTAGGCTTTTGTTGCAAATACAGCGAACTGTCTAAACTGGTGAATGAGAAAAGACCGAACATTATTGTTGTTGTTAATTGAAAATGCAATGAGAAATTATTGTGTGCACATAAGACAGAATAGACAAAATAATGAATAATTATTTATGTAGTGATATTCTTAGAATATATTGGGGGTGTTTGAGAAAAAGTGCTAAGGAGAATATTTTGACTTAAAAAAGGGAAGTAATAGGATTGAGGATATTATGTAATAAGGAGCTTCATAATGTATACTCTTTACCAAATAGTATGGTGTTTAACATGACATATAACACGTGTGTGAAATGAAAAAAAAGTACAGAATTTTAATTAGATAACCACTATGGATATGACAACTTTTGTGACCTATATAAATAAGTATATAATATTAAAATAGATCTTAAAGAAACAAAATTGTGACTGGATTAAAATGGCTCAAATTAGTGTCCAATAGTGGGTTGTGAAAATGATAATGAGCCTAAAGATTTTTATGAAAAGCTGTAATTACTTTACCATCTGATTTACTATGAACTTTTTAAGGATGCCATGTACAGTTGAGTTTGTTATTCTCATAAACATTGTTTGCTGAAATCAATGTCTTTCTTATACAGCAGCAAATACACTGATGGCAGGTCTCCTTTACAGGTTGAGAAGTTACTAAAAGCGGCTGAAGAAAATCTCAAGACTGAAACTGAGGCAAAGAAGAGTATGGCTGATTTAGAATCAAAAATATCTGCACTTGAAGTGAATCTTCAGGTATTAGGAAATCTTAAATTAGGCTCACTACAGGTGTGATTATGCTTAAATTAACAGTTAAACCAATTCTGAACATATTAATTAATTATCTGTGAGTTTAATATGATAAACAGTGATTATTTTTCTAAAGAGCATTAACCAATTGACCTTTGTAATGAAGATACATTTGTTTTCTTTGCAGTAGGAACTGAATCTTTAAATATTATCTAGTTGAGCTTCATGTTAAATGGTTTAAAAGCAATGTGTTAGCTGTTGAATGATCAGTGTAATGTATAATTTATCTGCATAACAGGCTGAGAAAAAGAAGTGTGAAAGGATGAAAATTTCTCAGGAAAAAGAATTGAAAAATAGGGAGCAAGAGCTATCAAGTTTACGCACAAAGCTGCGTTCACTAGAAGGAAACAATGGTACCAGCAACAAGAAGGTTACGGAGCTAAAAGAGGAATATCAGTCACACATTGATAGTAAGTAAGAGAAAAAATAAGAATGTAGTTTATATATTTATAGTAAGAGTTAAAAGAAAATATTAGATTGGCAGTTTTAGTTGCAGTGGTTAGAATTGAACCTGGGACATTTTCAGTATTAAACTTCAGATGCCAGCCTGATGGTCTTGTGACAAGCATATTTAGGGTTCCTCAAGGACAGAATTAACTGTGGAATTTATATTTTCAATTGAAAATTAATCAGTGTTGGTGTTTATAATTAAGTTCAGCATGAGAAAGATTTTGCACAGAACCAAGGTTTTGCAGAAAATTATTTGGAAATTTCAATTTTAGTGCATTAGGCACTCACAATAGGATATGTTGTCCACATTTTAATTACTGTATCTTCATTGATATAACAATCAACTGAAGTGGATTAGCTAGATCATACAACAGGAGTTGTTCATTTAAATCTGTATCATATTTTAATATAGATGGTAATTAATGTAATAGAATTAGAGGAAGCATTGTCAGCAGAGAGACAAGCATATGAAGACCTTACAGCAAAGTATGAGATCTTGGAGGAGGAACATGTGGTCACCAAGGCACAACTTGTTATGGATAAGGAGGCAATACAAGGGTAAGTATATTTATTGAAATATACACATGAACTGACAATAGGAACACTTCTTTTTAAAGATGGGTTGATATTGTTGCATCAATTCTTAATATTTAAAGAATGGATTTCTACTTTTAATTTCACTAATACAGCATTTTGTTTCTTTCCGTGTTTCCCTTTCCATAAAATTCCATCCAATCTCCTTATAGTTGCTTGTGCTTGTTTAACCTTCACTGTGCATGTGTCTTGGCACACATGCAGTCCAACTGGCCTTAGTATGCTACTAAACCATTAAACCCTGTAGTTAAAGTCTGGCTGGCAGCCTCATAGTACAGGAGTTTAAATTCCCTATTTGTGATAAAATAATAACAGCATCTTCTCTTATGAATAATCTTTGAATGTTATGTATACTATAAAACAGGACAGCAGTGTCATTAAACTGGTTGTGAGCTGGATGACTCGAATTTCATTCCTGACAGAGGCAGGAACTTCCATTATTACTACCATGTCCTCCAACTCTTGAATCCACTGATCCTCCTATTCAGTGTATACTGGGGGATCTTACCCCCAGGAATGAAGTGGCCAAGGTGTGAAGCCAACTGATCAGTTGCATGTAGTGCTGATGTTAAGAATGCCCTCTACTAACACTGTGTATATTCATTACATCCTTCCTAGGCATAGGAATATCTTTACTGAACTTTATTAAGCATGCAAAATTGATGCCTATCATTACTTTGTTGTCCAGAGCGAATGTATTTTTTATGCGGAACAGGCAACTTTTGACAATGAAGAGGGAACTAGTAGGAGCAGAGAATGAGCTGAGGATGCTTCAGGAGACATATAATGAGAAGCAGGATAGCTGGATTAAGGAGAAACTTGACCTCCAGGTTAGTAATAATTAATTTTTAACCTAATTCACTTATTTTACAAGGAAAGGTAAGCTTATGGTACAGTGCCCAGCTGTACTATGTATATGTGGTGAAACTTACAGAGTGCTTTTTTATGTGGCAGAACTATACCATGAATAACATTGAAAGGGTTGATTACATTTTGGATGTCAATGTTTTGCTTCTATGTCTTGGTAAAATTGTAGGATAAACTAAAGGAGCTAGAGGAGAAAGTATCGCGCAGCAACAGCAATGACAGTTGGGTTCTTGAGAGAACTCGTCTCAAATCCGCTCTGCAAGGTAAATCTTTGGAGATGGAACAAATGAAGAAGGAAGCCGATATGACTGCAGATCAGATGGAACACTTTAGACGGGAGGTAAATATGAACCTTAGGTGTACTTACTATTTACATATAATGTATGTTGGCACTCTTGTGTGAAGATTGTTTTGCTGATATCCAGAGATTTATCTCTCTTTATCTCAAAAATAAAGTGACTAGTTTCAGGCTTACACACTGTAATGATAATCATTTGTTGAGATTTGTGTTTTTGTTTCGGAAGATGGCACCATCTTATGGTGAGCTTGTTTGTCTATGTTTCAGAAATTTATATATCCTCAAAGAGAAGTGACCAGTATCAGCTTTGTGGTAGAGATATAAACGAAAATTAAATTTTCTTAACATCTTCTAGTATGGACCCCAGATAACAAGTTTAATTTAATTTTTTTAGGAATTTTGATGACAGAATATTCTGAAAAATTATGAATGAATATGACCTGCTCACTGTGCAGGTCCTGTCATATTTTGTCAGTTACAATGTACATATATGTAATTGGATATTGATGGTATATTTTATGTTCATCTGGGTTTGTGTGGTCGTTTTATATCAGATTTTCTAATAAAATATCTTTAAAATTCTTATTTCCCCAAGTTTCTTGCATTCTTGAGCCTATCTCTTTTATCGTGATATATTTTTTGCATTTTACATGTTCCTCTAACACTCTTGGGTCCATATATTCTCCTAAGACTAAAACAATAACAACATTCTGAAATGATTTCGAATTTTCTTTTATAGAATGATGAATTACGCAAAAAGTTAGAAGACTTTGACAAGGTAGTGAAGGTCCACCGAAGTATGTCAGCTGACACTTCTGCCATAGAGAAGGAGCTGCAGTCCATAAAGAACAAGTTAGTCTCCAGAGTTTGTATTTGTTCATATCACTTTGTAGCAAACTTTGATAAAGTAGTTAAATGTAAAGGTTTGAAAGATCTTTCAACTATGTAAAATAAACAAAAAATTTGTAGTAATTATCACGAATCTGTAGTTTATATACCAAAGGATACCTCTTAAACATTGATAAAAACTCAGTGTTTTATAATTTTACTGAAATAATTTGTTTTTGTGACTAAAAAAATAATTATAAAGGTAAAGTATCTCAAGGCAATAAATACTTCACCATCTGACTGATTTTTTGACAATTCAACTGTTATTTAAACTGGAAATGGTTGCGAATTGTAAGTATGTAAGAAATTGTGTCCTATTTTTAGATACCATCCATCAATTTGCCTGCAGAGGCTGAGGAAACACCATAATAGCCAGTTACACAGCCATAATTGAAACCGAATTATTTAATAAATAAAATTTTCAAACTTTCTCTCAAAATTATAAAGTTTATTTACCACTAATAATGTCATGTGCTCTCTTTTTAGACGTTACGAAGAAGAAAAAACCCACAAGTCAGAAATGGCACAACTAAAGTTGCGATATGATGGCCGAGTTGCAGTCATCTGTGAAGAAATCCAAGGCCTGCAGGGTCAAGTGAGTCGATTCAAACGAGAACGTGACACTTTCAGACACATGTTGGAGGGTGCACAGAGGACTATTGCAGACTTGAAGGCATCCTCGGGCAGAGAGTCCAGAAGTTCTGGCAGTAATGTTGATGAGGTAAAGGCAACGTCAAAATGAAACGTTTTGCCATCTAGTTACTTTTTAATTCCTGTGATTAGCATTGCCAACATTGCTGCTATGTGAAGTGGCAAGGTGAAAAGTGCACTAAATAACATTTTTAAATTTTGTGTTGTGAAATACTTTTCAATTGGGGTGATATATTGTGTGGAATGAAGGTTGGTAGAATTTGTTCAGGATCATGGCTAGTGGCAAAGTGTAGCATCATGACATCAGATATTCTGCCAGGGAGACAGTTTAGTTTAGTTTGTTTGAAATATCTGCAACTTTCACAGACATTATAATTAAAAAAAATTAAAAGTAACAGCATCATGACTTCACAAAAATTTTCTGGAGTGACAGTGATGATAATTATTGAATTGCTGCAACTTGGCATGTCAGATCTTATATGATGGTATATTACATCATTACATGTACATCGCCTGATATTGCAAGCAGTATTAAAATCTACAGTATTTAATACCTTGGAAACCTAAAATTCACCACTCAAATTGTAAATGGTCTTTATGCAGTAATATCTCACAAGGTTACAACTATTTCTTTCTGTTTTTCAGTCAGAGGAAACACAAACAAGAATACAGACTTTGGAACAGCAGGTCAACTGTATGGAGGATGAGCTATCTGAAGCTCGACTTGAGGCTTCCAAACTCAAGACAGAGCTGATCTCAGAACGGTCTGCTTGGGAGGTGAAACTTTCTGAGATGCAGTCACATGTAAATGAGGTGTGTTCTCTGATTTTTACCTTAATGTGACAGTATAGGGGATTTAAACCCTCAAATTAAGAAGCTGCCATCTAGACTTAACTACCAGGTTTAATGATTTACTGATATGGTACTGAAACACACATCTAGCTGGATCACATATAAGCAGTGATGCAATTATTTGGAATTTATAAAAGTTAATGATTGATTTTAGGGCATATTGTATAGCACATATTTTTAATTTTCTTACTTGCTCTAAATTTATTATAATCTAGAAGCGCAATAGATATATTGTTTTCTTGAATTTACACAGCTTGAGGAGGATCGTATCATAAGCAGTGGACGTACAAAGATACCCGGAATGCGTACACGAATGGAATTAGCATGGCAGAAGGAGCGTGAAGAACAGCATCGATTACTTCAAGAAACATCTACATTGGCCAGAGATCTCCGTCAAACATTGTTTGAGGTAAGTATTTGAAAAAGATATGTATGCGTGCGTGAGTGTGCGCGCGCGTGTATGTACATTACTGAGTCAATTGAAAATTGAAGACAATTTACTTTTAAAACTAAAACACACATCATGGTGCACAAGTGTGATGTGATTCATGGCAGAAGTGGGATTCTTCCCCTTAACAACACACATAAACCAGCTCTAGAAGCATACTGTGTTCCATAGAGTGAATACTGGGTGTTTGCTCCATGACTCATATCCATCTAGGGCTGAGGTTAAGAACATGGTGCTCTACCTCAACTTCCCGTGTATGCCTATTGGTGTGGTACTAAGGTATAAGGACATTATTACATTTGGTTGCAAGATACTAATTTGGTTACTAAACTTTTTGTTGAAGGCCCTTATATAACTTAGTATTGAGTAATAATGTTCATCACAAATATTATTTAATCTATCATGTTTCTTGAATTGTATACTACAAGTTTTGTCCAGTCTTTTGTAATTTATAGATACTGAATGCTCTTATCTCTGCTGATGTCATCAGGTGGAGCGAGAAAGAGACAAAGAGCGGCTGGAAGCAAAACGACGTCTTGAGCAACTCAAGAAATCCACAGAAGAAGAACAAGAAGAAAACAGGAAGAAAGTTACAGAGGTCAGCTTCATAAAATTGTGGTGTTTCACAGCCATTATGAAACTGCAACATTTTCAAAACAACAGAAACATTGCCAAAACATAATAGATCAGAAGATAATTGGATGTTGCTGAACAAAACTTACCTTCAGCTTGCTGTTATGTTTCACTTCCCTCCCAAGAAACCTTTACATTAAAATATATTAAACTGTACTTTTATGTGTTATTCAGCATGTGTGCAGAGTTAAAAGCAAATATGATGTCAACAGATCTTTAGAAGCATCTTCTATTTATACATGTTTAAGTTATGTGACTTTTTCTAGAAACACTTCTGTATATCTGTATGCAAAATAGTTTCATATTATCACTCTTTATGGAAAATCTGTGGGACTCTGAAGGCAAGTGTCAAAATAGAGAAGCGCTTTCAGAACACAACAATTTTATAATACTTTTCCATCAGAACATAACTGTAACTTGTCCCTTTATTACCATAGTTACAATGTGATCTACTGGAACTTCGTGATGCTCATGCAAAGTTACGGACAACCAATGAGAAGCTACGCCGGGAGAAAGAACGTAATGAGAAGGAACGTGAAGAACTTAGGCAGTTGGCGTCAGGCAGGAGACGAGCTGAGCAAGATGAAGACAGAAGAGTTAACATTTTACTAGAGCAG